CGTTCCAAGCCCGGAGATCTAACGTACGGTATAGGGAAACAATTAGTGAACACCCCCCCTGCCCCCCAAGCTCGAGGTTGGCACGCGCGGGGGAAACTGCGGTCGAGGTGCAACTCATCAGACCCACCGCCAACTTTGAACATTGGGGGGAGGGGGAGGCGTTCACAGATGAATGTGGCATGAGTGTTCGCTATTTTTTCCGAGGCCTGTATTGAAAAAATAAGGCGGATTTTTTTCGCAATTTTCGGCCTTTGAGGGCCCTCGCAGGGCCCTGGGACCCTGTCAAAAAAGGATTCAGGAGGAAAAACGGGTCCTGGCGAAGGGGTCGAGACTTCTGGGGGCCCCGTATTTAGAAAAACACGACATCGGATCTCTGGGAAAAGAGGGCCTTGCCTTCGAGGATCGAAGGAGTTGTCATCTCTTCCTCGGCGGAAGGCCGCGGGAGGGCGGCGGACGGTCGGCGGAAGTAAAGCGAGGTCGCCTCCGCCGGCGGAAGCCGGCGGAAGCTCGGCGGAGGGCGGCGGAAGTAAAACATGCGCCCCAAACGTTTTTGGGCTCAGGGTTTCTGGAATCGCCCATGTTATGTTCCAAGCTTCGTGCCACACCCTCTCCACTCCGCCTGGCGGCGGGGCCGCAGCCCGCCGTATGCGCCAGAGTGCGTATCCCGCCCTGCCTCCCCCCCCCCCCTCTCTCAGGAGGGAAAAAGACACACAGACACAATTAATCTTCGATCCCCCCAAAATGCGGAAAAATATGGGAAGGGGGGGAGAAGACGAAAAGCCAAAAATCATGGGAAAATATGGGGAATCCTGTTCTTTGTGTGTACTGATTTGTGTGTCCCAGGGCCCCTCCCGCTCTCGCCCGACCGCGGCCCTCCTCCCCAGAGAGCCAGCGCCACGGTCTCGTCGACGCGTTGGGCCCCCCCGACTTCGACCCCCTTTGCCCCAGGACCTCCCAGACTTCGACCCCCCTGCCCCGGCGGCCTCCCCCGCAGACCGCGCACCGGAGGTCGCTGCAGCGAGGGGCCTCGCTCCCCAGACGTCCGCCGACGATGTGCTTTGTGCAGCGCGCGGTCCCGGAGGAGGAGGAGGAGGAGGAGGAGGAGGAGGAGGAGGAGGAGGAGGAGGAGGAGGAGGAGGAGGAATCCGACACCCTCTCCACTCCGCCGCGGCAGGACGCGGTGCAGAAGGCGTTCGCGCAGGACGGCGGGCATACAGGCCGCCGCCAGCTCCGCAGACGCTGCGGCACCCGTGCTGCAGCGCTCTGGCCGTCGTTGCCCCCGTCTGCTGCCCTCCCTCAATTCGCATGCGGCCCCCCCGCCATCTTGGCACACTCCTCGCGCGCGTTTCGTGGCCCCAGAGGAAGTGGAGATGATGATGCTGATGCTGATGCTGATGCTGATGCTGATGCTGATGCTGCTGCTGATGATGATGATGATGATGATGATATCATACCGACGATGCTCATGATGATGATGATGATGATGATGATGATGACGACGAGTAAGAAAATGATCAGATGATGGTGATGATGATGATGACAACGACGACGATGGTGGTGGCAATGCCGATGACGATGGCGACGACGACGGCGACGACGACGACAATGATGACGACGATGATGATGCGCGATGGTGATGGCGATGTCCGTGGTGATGGTCATGGTGATAGGCATGGTCATGATCAGCATTATGGTGACGGTGGCGATTATCATAATAAGGGTGATGATGACGCAATGACGCTGACGACGACGACAATGATGATGATGCTGATGATGATGCACTGATGATGGTAGTGATGCTGGTGGTGATGATGATGACGATGATGATGCTGGTGATGATGATGACGACGATGATGAGGGTGATGGTGATGATGATGATGACGATGATGATGCTCATGAGGAGTATGATGATTATGATGACGTGGATGATGATGATGACGATGATGATGATGCTGATGATAATGATGACGGTGAAGATGATGATGACAAAGACGATGAGGATGAGGAGGATGACGATGATGGTGGTGGTGATGATGCTGTCGATGGTGATGATGATGATGATGATGATGATGATGATTATCATCATCATGATTGTGACAGTGATAGTGATGATGATGGTTATGATGCTGATGCTGCTGCTGATGCTGATAATGATGATGGTACTGATGAGGATGATGATGATGATGATGGTGGTGGTGGTGATGATGATGAGTATGATGATGATGATGATGATGATGATGATGATGATGATTTTGATGATGATGGTGATGATGATGATGATTAGGATCATGACGATGATGGTGATGATGATGCTGATGATGCTGCTGATGATAATGATGATGACGATGATGATGATGATGATGAGGATGATGAGGAGGATGATGATGATGATGATGATGATGATGATGATGATGACTAGGAGAAGGAGGAAGAGGAGCAGGAGGAGGAGCCCTGCATTTGGGGTTTAGGGTGTTGCCTCTTGGTTTCTGGAGGTGGCGCTTTTCGTGTTTTCACGCGTAGTTTCTCTGGCTTCAGAGCTCGTGTGGCCGCTCTCTCTGTGGCTCGCGTGTGCGCGCTCCGGGGTTCGTGCCCAGCGTTTCCAGGGGTGGTCGCTTGCCACCCTGGAGGGCCCCAATTTGCTTAACTTTACGCTAGACTCACGCCGTGTCGACGCGGCGGCGATCCCAGCTCTGGTGTTCAAGGCGGAACGCCACGCACGGCTCAGTCGATGTCGACCGATCTGCGTTGTCAGGAGGCTGCGAGCGTTCAAAGCTTGAACGATGCTCGAGGTATCAGAAGCCCGCGCCGCCGCCATCGCGCCTTTGGCTTTGGCGGCAAAGCTACCTAAGGGGCCTGGGGTACAAAAGCTGCCGGCGGCTGTCCCCTCCTCTTCTTCTTTCTTCTTCTTCCTCCTCCTCCTCCTCCTCCTCGTCCCCCTAGCAATTCGGCCAGGAACGCACTGTGTGTCCAATGCAAGCCCGAACCCGAGTCTTCAGCAGGCGCCCGACTGTGCCCCGGGGAGCTTTTCGTGCAGCTCGGCGTGACCCCCACAACGCTGCCTGCGTCGGACCGAAGGGCTCGTTTGTTGGCGCTCCGCCCGCCGCCCCCGGCTTCGGCTTCGGCAGGGAGGAGCCGCTCCTTGCCCACCAGGTTTTCGGGGCGCCGCCGGACTGGGCACCGCCGTCGCCGTCTGCCCACAGCCCTCGTCCTGCTCCTCCTTTTCGTCCTCGTCGTCATCGTCTTCCTCCTCCTCCTCCTCCTCCCTCCTCCCTCCTCCCTCCTGCCTCCTGCCTCATCCTCCTCGGTCCCCTCCCCCTCCTCCTTCCTCCTCCCTCCTCCTTCCTCCTCCTCTTCCTCCTCCTTCTCCTCCTCCTCCTCCTCCTCCTCCTCCTCCTCCTCCTTCTCCCTCCCCTCCCTCCTCTCTCCTCGGCGGGCGCCGCCTGCGTCTGCCGGGCCTGCTCCCCGACGCGCCCGAGAGGCCGCCTGCTGGGGGCGCTGCTGGCCGGCGCGGGGCCCGCGGGCCTGCCGGCGGCCTGCGTGCCCGCCGTGGGCGCGCCGGTGCTGCCCATGCGCGTGCAGCAGGCGGACAGGGCGCAGGACGGCGCCGTGCGGAGGTCTGGGTGGAGGAGGAGGAGGAGGAGGAGGAGGAGGAGGATGCGGAGGTGGAGGGGGAGGCGGAGGCGGAGGAGGAGGATGCGGAGGTGGAGGGGGAGGCGGAGGCGGAGGCGGAGGCGGAGGAGGAGGAGAGAGGAGGAGGAGGAGGAGGAGGAGGGGAGGAAGAGGCGGAGGCGGAGGAGGAGGAGGAGAAGGAGGAGAAGGAGGAGGAGGAGGCGGAGGCGGATGCGGAGGAGGAGGAGGAAGAAGAGGAGGAGGAGGAGGAGAGGAGGAGGAGGAGGGGGAGGAGGAGGAGGATGAGGAGGAAGAGGGGGAGGAGGAGGAGGAGAAGAGGAGGAGGAGGAGGAGGAGGAGGAGGAGGAGGAGGAGGAGGAGGAGGAGGAGGAGGAGGAGGAGGAGGAGGAGGGGAGGAGGAGGAGGAGGAGGAGGAGGAGGAGGAGGAGGAGGAGGAGGAGGAGGGGGAGGGGGAGGGGAGGACGAGAAGGAGGAGGATGAGGAGGAGGAGGAGGCGGAGGAGGAGGAGGCGGAGGAGGAGGAGGAGGAGGAGTGCTGATGCTGATGATGCTGATCATGATGATGCTGATGATGGTGATGGTGATGGTCATGCTGATGAGGGTGATGGTGACGATGAGGGTGATGGTAATGCTGATGCTGATGATTATGATGATGATGACGATGCTAGTGATAGTGATGGTTATGGTGATGATGGTCATGGTGATGATGGTCATGGTGATGATGCTGCTCAAGATGGCAATGATGATGATGATGCTGATGCTGAGTATGATTATGACGGTGATGCTGATGCTGACGATGATAAGATGATGCTGGTGGGTCTGATGATGATGATGATGATGATGATGATGATGATGCTGATGCTGATGCTGATGCTGATGCTGATGCTGATGCTGATGCTGATGATGAGGGTATTGGTGATGATGATGCTGATGCTGATGCTGCTGACGATGATGATGATGACGATGATGATGATGCTGATGATGATGATGATGATGATGATGATGATGATGATGGTGATGATAATGATGATGATGATCGTGATGGTGATGATTATGGTGATGGTGTTGGTGATGGTGATGGTGATGGGATGATGCTGATGGCCCCGTTCGGAGGTCTGGGTGTGGACACCAAGAAGATCGGCGGTGTGTCAGAGGAGGGAAACGTACACATGCTTCTAACCTTCCCCTCGTGCTCCGCATTTTGGGCCTCCTGGGCCTCCGTCGTCGCCACCGCTGGATTCGCCTCGAAACCCTGGTCAGAACGCACCCCAAGAGAGGTCGGGGGAGTGGCGGTATATACGGTATAGGTACCCTTTGGTTTCTCCAGTGTGCCTCCACCGAGGGAAGATGATCCCAATCTCGGCGGTGGTGGTTATCTTCGGGCTTCCTAGGATGCCGAAAGATTACCACCAGCACCAACACCCAGGATCATGTTCCCTCGGTGGAGGCAACCTCCTGTGTTGACGTTGGTGCTAATTTCCAGGCCTCCAGCTCGTGGCTCTTCGGCCGCCGTCATGGTCGTGGTCGCTGTGCGGCGGCGCCAGCGGCGGCGGCGGTGACGACGACTGGCAGCGGCGGAGGCGGCAGACGACGGCAGACGAACGACGAACAACGAACGACGGCGAGCGACGATCGCCTCGTGGCCGTTCGGCCGCCGCCGTCCTCGTGGTCACAGTCATTCGTCATCGTGCGTCGTCATGGTTCTCCTTTCGTCCAATCGTCGTCGTCATCGTCGTCGTCGTCGTCATCGTCGTCGTCGTCGTCCGCCGTCGTTGCCGTCGTCGCCCGCTCTCCATCGTGCGTCCCCCGCAGTCGCTGCACTATCGTCGGTCGTAGTCGTCGCCCTCGCCCTCGTCCTCGTCGCCCGGCGGCGGCGGTGACTCGTCAGGCACGGCCGGATCACCAGGGCATTGTACGTTTCTTAGGTCGCCCCCCAGGGGCACGAAGGTGATCGCGCTTCGCGCACCGCGGCTTGGCTTGGAGAGGCGCCTTTCCCCGGGGCGGCGGTGCGAGGGCGCGAAGGTAGCAACCGCGCGTCGCGCATCGCGGGGCGCGAGGCGCGAGCTTGGGCGACCTAGGATCACCAGGGCCCTGTTCGTTTCCGTCGTGGCGTCCTGACGCGTCTGCGGTGGGCTGGGGCCGATGGCCTGGGGGCCCTCCCCGTGGCCCAGGACGCGGCCGGTGCGCTCCGGCAGCTCGGCGGGGCCGTGCTGGCCGAGTGGCGCATGCAGGGGGAGCGGGCGCAGGTCACTCAAGCGACGCGGGCGGCGTCGGGAGGGGGAGGGGGGGGGAGGAGGCGAGGAGGAGGAGGCGGGAGGAGGGGGGAGGCGCGGAGGGGTCGGTGGGGAGGGGGGAGGCGTTGGGAGGGGGAGGGGAGGGGGGCGGTGGGGAGGGGGAGGGGGGAAGGCAAGCTAGGTGCGCTCGCGTCATATCTGACATCCTACCCCTCCCCCCCATCCCTTACCATGGCGTAGATCCCCTCTCTACTCGCACAGTCGGATGTCGAGCAGGGCAATGATCGCGAAAGGGTACGCGATGCACTGTAGAGCACGGCATGGCATGGCGTAGAAGAGCACCGCAAAGCGTAGTATCAACCTAGCATTGCATTGCATGCCGTGGCATGGCACGGGAAATGACGCCAGCGCTGCAGCGGGAGCACGAGTCGAAACGAGCGGAAGCGCGGAAATGAGGCCAGCGCTGCAGCGGGAGCACGATTCGGAACGAGCGGAAGCACGGAAATGAGGCCAGCGCTGCAGCGGGAGCACGATTCGGAACGAGCGGGGCCCGAAAATGAGGCCGGCGCCTCAGCGAGAGGAGCATTCTGAAAAAAATGCAAGCGAAAACCCAACTCCCGGGAATCTTGTGTGTAAAAAACAGTACGCGGGGGGGGGGTCGAACACTCCCAGCACGTCATCAGGGGAAGAGGGAGAGTAGTATTCATGTTGAGTAATTGTAGAGGGGGGGATGGGGATGGGAATCCTGCTCACTGGGTGAGAGAAAAAGGGAGCCTTGGACCCAGGAGCGGACAGCAGGCTCAGGACCTGAAGGCTTCCCCTTCTCGGCCTTGCTTACGTAACTTAATTAGGACTTTCGGCAACGAGCCCTGGCGGATCCTGGTCAAATATGACACAAGGCTTGCGGAGGGACACGTTCGTCCAACTGCCATGACAGCCACACCGCCCACAGAACCACACTCCCAAATTCGTGCTGAGATTCAAAGCGCGAGTTTCGTGCACCCAGCTCCCATGTACATGAAGCTTATTTCCAAACGGAAAGGTCTGCAAATCCCCGACAATATCATCGAATGGCTTTCGCCCCATCCCGCCACCGTGCTTGGGCTGTAGGTTTGAAGCCTATTGGATGATCGTTGGATTCTCGTTGGAGGCCTCTCGGGCCTCTTGGGGGCCTCTTGGGCGCCTCGTGGGCCCTTCTGGGGGCCTTTTGGGGCGGAAGGCTCGGCTTTTCGATTCGTGTTCCCTCTCTTGGGCCCCTTTTGGGGCTGGGGCCGTCTTGGGGCCCTCCTGGGCCGTCTTGGGCGCGTCGCGCTCTTAGGCCATCTTGGGGCCATCTTGGAGGCCTCTTGGGCTGTGTTGGGGTGGTCTTGGTGGCCTATTGGGCCATACTGGAGCGTCGGATAACAGAAGAGGGGGGAACGCCACAATTTTTCCAACACGTGCGGCACATCAATGACGTTTGCCTCTTGGGGCCTTCTTGCCGCGCCTTTTGGGTCACCTTGACGCCATCTTGGGCGTCTTGGGGCTGATCCTTCGGCGATCCAGAGCCTCCTCGGACCGTCTTGTGAGGGCCCCGCGGGGCTCTCTTTTGGCCAATCCTGGGGGCGCTTCTTGGGCTCCGAAAGGGTCAACGCGACATGCTGCGAGAAGCCCTGGGGCACCGCGTCGAGCCCCCAGAGATTGTTCGGACACTGCGTTCCGGGCCCCGCAGAGAATCCTCAGGAGTGTTCAAGGGATCACGGTCAGACCGCGCAGCAAGGAGGGGCAATCTTCCCAAGGCTACCCTTGCATCCTTGCCTCCTCGGTCCATTCTTGGCCACTGTCTTTGGCCGCGCCCCGCCCGTAACGCTTCGACATGGGCGTCCGAGGCCCTTGCATTCCCATCGCGCACCCTTATGGCCACGGCGAGCCTCGGTCGCGGACAGTTGGTTCCCCGACCTAGGGTCCAAGAGAAGACGAACAAACCGCATAACCATAAACGTTTGGCGCGCCGCGCGGATCTCTTGGATCCGCGCCGGGGCCCCCCTGGCGGCGCCTCCAGCACCGCCCCTGGCGCGCGGGGCGCGCCAGGCAAAGGACCCGAGGACACGCCCACTCCGTGCCCAGCGGCACGGCGGCGGGCGAAGAGCGAAGTGGCTCCAAGGCAGAGAAGGGGCTCGGGAGGCCGACCTCCAGCAGCGCCTGCACGTCCTACGGCTGTCGCCAAGAGCATGTCGCTGGCAGAAGGTCGAGGCTCGTCCTCAGCGGGGCGTGTCCCGCTACAGGAGAACGATTCAGAAGCAGTTAAAATAGTCCGGGGACGATTTTCCGATTCTTGTTTTACGTAGCATCCCGCAGGTGCGGATAGGAGTGAGGGAGCGGCGAGGACGTCGTCAGTCTGCGAGGCTCTGAAGAAGCCCGCCGCAGGCGCCTAATTATACAAATTATGCATTGAGCCCGCCGCAGGCGCCGATCTTTTCGTCAAAGCAATGTGGGTGGATCGCAGGGTGGGTCGCCGGTGGGTCGCGGGCCAGGTCGCGGGTGGGTCGCGTGGGTCGCGGTGTGGGTCGCGGGTGGGTCGCGGTGTGGGTCGCAGGTGGGTCGCGGGTGGGTCGCGGGTGGGTCGCTGGCTGGGTCGCGGGCTGGGTCACGGGGTGGGTCGCGGGTGGGTCGGGCGGGGTGGGTCGCGGGTGTGTCGCGGTGTGGGTTGCAGGGTCGCGGGCGGGTCACAGGGTGAGTCGCGGGTGTGTCGCGGGTGGGTCGCGGGTTGGGTCGCGGGGTGGGTTGCGGGATGGGTCGCGGGCTGGGTCGCGGGCTGGGTCGCGGGGTGGGTCGCGGGCGGGTCGCGGGCTGGGTCGCAGGGGGGACGACGACAACAAACAACAACAACAACAACAACAACAACAACAACAACAACAACAACAACAACAACAACAACAACAACAACAACAACAACAACAACAACAATCACTTTACCCGAACGCTCAGTGTTCTCACCAGTGCCAGGGTTTTCATGCGACGCCAGCCAATACCCCCACTTTGTGGGGGGGCAGTGCAAGCTCTACCAAATATCCACACGACTCTTCGCCACCACCCACACCCAGCTTCCCGCCCTATGACGTTCGGACACTTCACTTCGTGGCCTGCGGACGACCGTGGCTACTACACTGGCGTGGAGTACACACCCACAGAAGTTGTTAAGCCTACGTTCGTACACCCACAGAAGTTGTTAAGCCTTGTTAACCCACAGAAGTTGTTAACCCACGGTGCGATTCGTGTGATTTTATGATGCGCGGTGCTAAAATTCTTAAGAAGCCCAATGGTTTTTGGAGATTTCGGCGTGCGCGCGCGAAGAAAAAACGAATGTGTCCCGCATGGTATTATTTGACAGGGATGATGGCCCTGGCAGGTGCGCAACCGTTGTCGCAAAGTTCGAAAAAGTTGCTCGCAAAAGCCCGTTTGACAGAAATGTTTAAAAAGTGTTGGGTTTCCTACGAATCCGCAAGAGCGCGCGGGATGAGATTTTGACATTTTTTTGTTGAAAAACCATTGGTTTTTTGATGTTTTTATGTTAAAATCGCTCCGAACACTAAGCTTTTGGAAGGATTTCGTCTTGCGCGCGCGAATGTCCACTTTACCTTATTTTTTGCAAGGGATTCTTGAAATTTGATTATATTAGAACAAGAAATGTCATTTTATAGTGTTTTTTGCAAGGGAAAACGGATTACAACAAAACAACCGGATCTTGATGACATCGTATTACCTGAGGCTTCCTCACGAAAATGATGAAAATGTAGCTGCGGCCTAGGCGCGGCGGGGGGGGCGCGCACCAGGGGCCCCAACAATAATTATTCTTTAGAATTAATAATGTTCAACAACAACAACAACAACAACAACAACAACAACAACAACAACAACAACAGCAACAACAACAACAACAACAGCAGCAACAACAACAACAACAACAGCAACAACAGCAACAGCAACAGCAACAACAACAACAACAGCAACAACAACAACAACGACAACGTGAACGACAACGACAACGACAACGACAACAACAACTTCAACGACAACGACAACAACAACGACAACAACAACAACACCAACAACAACAACACCAACACAAACAACAACAACACCAACAACAACAACATCAACAACAACAACACCAACATCAATAACAATAACAACAACAACAACAGAAACAGCAACAGCAACAGCAACACCAGCAGCAGCAACAACAACAGCAACAACAACAACAATAATAAGTTTAAGACTGTTCGCCCTTATATGCTCGAATGTCCAATAACGCGTATTTCCCAAACCCTCGATACCCGCCCTCTTCGTCTTCGATCGAACCCCTTTGGGGGGGTATACCTTTCTTCCCTGCAGGCCGAGCCCCGGCAAGCGGCCTGACCAGGCAGCGCTGATCGGCGGGGCGGCCGCGGACCGTCGACCCGACCCGAAGAGGGACGGACAGGGGACCGACCACGACGACGACGACGACGACGACGACGACGACGACGACGACGACCTCGAAGACGACGGCGACGACGACGACGACGACGGCGACGACGAGCGAAAGCGAGAGCGAGAGAGAACGACAGCAGGGCCGCGAAGGGCACGAAGTAGGCCACGAAGGGCGACAGCGGGGACACGAAGGGAATGCGTGAGCGCGAACGATCGGGGGCCACGAAGTGCAGATAATGCGGGGCCACAGAAGGCAACTATGGGGCCACTGAGGGTAGCAACTGGGCCACGTAGGACAGTGAGGGGGACACAATTGGCGACAGCGGGGCCACGAAGGGCATGCACATGGGGCCACAATGGGCGCGACTCCTGGGTGTCGGGAGCGCGGCGCTTGGGCAAATTGCCGGGAATTCCAAAGCAAGGGCGCTATTCTTCAGTAAAGTGTAAGCAATTCCCAGCGAGAGCGCGACTCCCGAGCGCCGGGAGAGCGATTCCTATGTGAATTGTAAGGAAGTTCCAAACGACAGCGCGATTTCTGAATAAAGCGCGAAGAAGACTCGGGCGGGAGCGGGGGTCCTGGCTAAACTCTGAGGAGCTCTCAGGCGGGAGCCGTTGTTGTTGTAACCTGGGGCCCAGGGGGCAAGTTTGACCAGGAAGACTTTCGCTGTCAAAAACAGGGTGCGAGCGTCGAGGGGCACACCTTGATTGAGAAAAAACAGTATGCACCGGTGGGGGGGGATCAACAATAATTATTCTTCAGAAATGAGAATTCAACAACAAGAACAACAACACCAACACCACCAACAATAACAACATCAACATCAACAACAACAACACCACTGCCACCAACAACAACACCAACACCAACACAAACAACAACAACAACAACAACAACAAAAACACCACCACAAACAACACCAACAACATCAACCAACAACAACAACAGCAGCAACAACAACAGCAGCAACAGCAACAACAACAACAACAACACCAACAAACAGTTTAAACCTGTTCGCCCTTATCTGCTCGAGTCTCCAATAACGCGTATTTCCCAAACCATCGATACCCGCCCTCTTCGTCTTCGATCGAGCCGCTTTTGTGGGGTATACCTTTCTTCCCTGCAGGCCAGGCCCCGGCAAGCGGCGGGGCGGCCGCAAACCGTCGGCCTGGCCAGCGGCAGCGCTGATCGGCGGGGCGGCCGCGGACCGTCGACCCGACCCGAAGAGGGACGGACAGGGGAACGACGACGACGACGACGACGACGACGACGACGACGACGACGACGACGACGGCGGCGGCGGCGGCGGCGGCGGCGGCGACGACGGCGACGACGACGACGACGACGGCGACGACGAGCGAAAACGAGAGCGAGAGCGAGAGCGACAGCAGGGCCACGAAGGACACGAAATAGGCCACGAAGGGCGACAGTGGGAACTCGAAGGGCATGCGTTTGGGGCCACGAAGAGCGCGCGAACGAGCGGGGGCCACGAAGGGCGGATAATGCGGGGCCACAGAAGGCAACGATGGGGCCACTGAGGGTAGCAACTGGGCCAGTAGGACAGTGAGGGGGCTACAACATATGTTTTGATTGCGGGAAGTGCCCCATCGAAAGGCAACCGTCTGAAAACCCTCGAACGCGTCAACACATTACTCTTGGGATGTACACGCCGCTTATTCGCGTGACTGTTGCGATCCGACAGTCGTAAGTCGTTTCCGAGCATTGATCCTGGAGCCCCAATGCCACGAATCACCGTGTGTACTTTGCCCTGACAGTTCTAAGTCGTGGTGGAACACCATTCCTGGAATATCAACCTTGCGAAACATTGACTTGTTGTAGACTTGAAAGACGAATGTGCGTGGCGCAGCGGCGGGAACTACATTTTGAACAGGAACCACCCTCCATGCTTGAAGCTGCTGCAAACTTTTAAACGAATGCCCGCGACGCAATGGCGACAGCCACAGTTTGATCAGGAACCGCCTTCCACCATTGAAGCTGCAGCAATTTTTAAGACGAATGTGCGCGGCACCGAGGAGAGAGCCACATGTTCAAAACCACCCGCCTTCATCTTTGCAGTTGCAGCAAAATCCGGAGAACAATGGGTGTGGCGCCGTGGCGAGAGCCACATTTTGCAAATCACTCGCCCTCCATCCTTGAAGCTGATGCACATTTCAAGCTTCAAGATCACAAATGGTGGGGATGTCTGAGGCGAACCGCCCGGCCCGCCCTACGACACGTCTGTGGGTGCGACAGGGAAGAATTATCTAGGAGGAAAAGGATGGAGGATGGAGGGAGGAGGCGGAGGGATGGAGGGAGGCAGGGAGGGAGGAGGAGCAGAATGAGGAGGAAGAGGAATCGAGGAGGTGGGAGGGGGACGAGTAAATGGTGGAGCGAATGCGCCGCCGCCAGGTGCACGTGCAGAAGGGTGGGAAGGATATCACCGTCTTCGTCGGCGCATTTGGCAGGCCCACCCCTGGCTCGCTGGATTGTTGTGTTGTTCTTTGTTCATCTCGCTTGTCAGCGTTGTCACCGTGATTATTGTTTTGGCCTCTGGAGGTGGTTGCACTGGCTTTCCCTGCGCGAAATCTCGCCTCTCGGCGTCCCGCGCAGGACGTCCGCCTCTAGAGGCATCCCGGATGCTCTTCTCTACCTCGCTCCCTCATGCTCCTCCCTCCTCCTTGGGAGTGGTCTTCGAGGACCTCGCGGGGGAGCCTGAGCGGGCCAGCCAGCATGTCCAGCCCCGGGCCAGCCAGACCACCAGCTTGGTCAGCTTGTCCACACCTTCTCGAGGCCTCTGGCCAAGCAGGCCATCGTTTTCAAGCCAGAGCGGATTCGGTGAAGTCCTGGGCTCTGCAGCTGGCCCAGCCAACCAGGCCAGTTTGCGGCGGCCTCTGAAGAGCTGCAGTGCCTTCCCCTGGCCGGCCCAGGCGGCCCACCTTTCCCTGCTCATCAGCCTGGTCAGGGCTTCCCTTCTCGTCGTAGGAACTTCGCGCCACTGGTTAGGACTATTCGGCACTGGACCAGACCGCGCGGCCCCGTCATCATCATTACCCCATGTGATTGTCATCACTTCCGGCGCCGCAGCCCACAGGACTGAACATGCGCAATCAGAGCTCGTGTTCTTCTGGGGCTCTCCGCCAAAAGGGCTGGCTCGGCATAGCCATCTTGGGGCCGTCTGGGAGGCATCGCTGCGGCGGTACAGCACAGCGCCGCCAGAATCTTGCGCGGCTGTCGCGGTGCCTCATGGACACTTCTAATACACGGTTCGCGTGCCCCCGCCATTCTGTCCAGCGACCAGTGTCTCGTGTTCTCATCATGCTTCCCGTTCCTTTTTTATATCTCCCCCTCTCTCTTTCTCTCTCTCTCTCTCTCTCTCTATATATATATATCCCTCTTTCTGTGTCGCTCTCTCTCTCTCTCGCCCTCCCTCCCTCCCTCCCCCTCGCTCGTGCTCTCACGATGAAAGAGAGGACAGGGGCCAGCCAGCAGGCAGCAGCAGGGGGCGAGACTGCCCAGTCCACGACAAACACGCACCACGCTGCGCCCGCCTAGCTGATTGGCCGGGCTGCGCCGTTCCACCAGTGACCCAGACCGGCCGCTGCCGATCCATATGCGCTGTCGGAGATCCGCGATCGTGCGAGGTGGAGCGGTGCTGGCGGTGTCAGAAGCCAATGCGCAGATCGACACGTCATCAACCTGCCGCAGGCAGGGGGGGCTGGGAGAGGAGGGGACGGAGAGGGGGCGTCAGGTTGGAGGCGGCCGCCCCCAGGCTCTGCAACGACAGGACCGAGGACGCCATCTCTGCGCTGAAGGATCACCTGCAGCCCGACGTCTGCAGCTGCATCCTCGAGGCAGGGATGGGGGACCTTCTGCAACCCAGCGCAGCATACCACAAGTCACGCTTCTCGGTCGGTGGTCAGGACCTCCTGCGGAGTTTCGACCGTGGCGAGCCCTCAGGCAAGAAAGAGCCAGACCTCTCGCGGGGGTCTCCTCGGGTTTTTCCCTTGAGCCTCCTCCTGCTCCTCCTCCTCCTCCTCCACCTCCTCATCCTCCTCCTCCTCCGCCTCCGCCTCCACCTCCTCCTCCTCCTCCTCCTCCTCCTCCTCCTCCTCCTCAAATTTCCTCCCTCCTCCTCCTCCTCCTCCTCCTCCTCCTCCTCCTCCTCCCAGGAGGCCTCTGGAGGCCCCAGCACGGAAATCCGATTTCCGCACACGACACATGAACAAGACGGCGGGCGGGTCGAGGTCGGGAGGCTGAACAGTATTCCAGGGCCCAGAACGGCCTTGGCCTTGTGGAACGGTCAATGGAGAGGAAATATGTTGCCAAATAATTATTAGATGTCTATCAATGTGTCAAGCATGTCTTTAACATGTAAACTATGCTTTAAACCTTGTCGTATCAGATGTCAAACATGTGAAACACTTCTTAAAGTCAATGATCGGGTTGCTAGGGTGTCCATTGTCATGGCATCCACAACCCTGGCCAGGGATGGTGTGGCTGCCATTTTGGATGGGTGGAGTCTGCGTTCGGGTGTGACACGCGCAGGGCTGGGCCACGTTTGCTTGCTATTGCAGCCCCTCCAGGAACGATGCCGGATCCGCGGAGCTGCCCTTGTCGCGGGAGCGTGGCATCATGTAGATACCTCGGGTAGCCTCAGTGAGCTAAGCGCCTCCTGGATGCCTCGAGGAGTCGCTTTGGATGTCGCCTGGGGGGGGTCCGGGTGGCCTCTTAGGGCGTCGTGGTGGCCTCTTGCGGGTTGCCTTCGCACATTCAGCGGTCTTCTTTGGATGGGCAGCCACTTGGAACCGCCAGTGACAGACCGCCAGTTCCAGACCGCGAAAAGAACAGGCGCCCCTGGGGCCCAGGCGTGCCAGGCACACCTGGTGCGCCAGACGTGCCACGCGCTCCAGGTGCTCCACGTGTGCCGTGTGATCCAGACGCGCCATGTGCGCCACGTTCGGGGCACGCGCAGAGCGTCAGGTGCGCCCGCGCACAGCGGGAAACGTGCCGCCCCCCACCATGCCTGTCGAAAACCAATGCGCAATCGCAGCGGAGTGGCCATTTTGATATCTGGTGGGCCTGCGTACAGCAGGCAGTATGCCAGAACCCTCGCCGTCCCTGTCAAACAAATGCGACGTGACCGCTGGGTGCCCGCGCGTGATTCAGATTTAGCTGCGGCGTGTAGTTAGCATTGCTTTGTTAAGCAGTGCTGGTGGCCCTGCTCACAGCAGGTCACAGGCTGGCACCCCCTCCGTCTATGTCAAAAAGCCATATAGGGAGCTCGCGGGGTCCCCGAGCAAGATCCAAGATTCATTGGCTTCTGCCACACCGCTGACTCCTTAGGGCCCGTGGATGCCAAGATCATACCTGATCATCGGTAGGCGATGGATGTGTTCCTGTTATTATCCTCTTCCTCCTCTTTCTTCTCCTCTTTCTCCTCCTCTCCCCTCCCTCCTTTTTCGCTACATCCCCTTCGGCCCTCCGACTTCTGCGCTTCACTCGTGTTTCTTGTTGTTTGCCCACTGGCTGCGGCATTCATCGTGCCCTCATGTTCTCCCATCAGCCTTCGATCGACAAGCGTCGATCCTACGACAACGCCGCCCAAAAGACAGGCATCCAGGGACCCGAGGGCGTGAAGAACTCCTTTTACGCCTCCGAGGGGCCTCCCGCATCTCTTCCAGCCCCTTCTTTTGGAAGCAGGTTGAAGCCGCTTGGGGGTCGTTTAGGGGCCTCCAGGGGGCTCGTTTGGGCCTCTTGGGCCTCTTGGGGCCATCTCGGGCTGTCTTGGGCCCCTCTTGGGTCGTTTCGGGGCCATCTGAGGTTGTTTTGTGCCCCTCGTGGGGTCGTGTTGAGCTGCCTCGAGCGCCTCTTGGGCCGTCCCTGAGCCGCCTGGAGCCGTCTTGGGGCTTTCTTTTGGGCCTGTTGGCCTGTCTTGGGTCGATCTTGAAAGCCTCTGAGGCAGTCATGGACGCCCGGAGAATAAAGCAAAAGGAGGCCTACGCAGAGCAAGCAAGTTTTCCGGTCTCCAAATCTGTTCAGAGATTATACTGGGAGTTCTTGGTATACCATCTTGGGCCCCTTTCGGTGGGCCCTCGGAGCTCTCTTGGGCCGTCTGGCGCGCCACGTGGGCCATGTTGAGGGCATCTGGGACTGTCTTGGGTTTGGGTTGGGCCTTGAGGCCATCTTTGGCCCCTCTTGGGGTCGTCGTGGTTTGTCTTCGGCGCCTCTTGGGCCGTCCTGGGGCCGTTAGGACCAGTCCTGGTACCCTCTTAGGCGCTCTTGGAGGCCTGTTGGGCCTTTTAAGGGCGATCTTGGAGACCTGTGGGGCCTCGTTGGGCGAGTCGAACACGGAACACGCGAATATGTTGAAAATGGGAGTTTCTCACGGATGCTCAGTTTTTGATTGTCAGGGCTTTCGTCGGGGTCGCCCACTAGATTTCTCAGGACATCTAGGAGGCTTCCAGAGCTGTTCTGAGACCACAGTGGGGCTTCCTTGGGCCGGGGACACGTGGAGAACCGGGCGAGGCTACTTGGAGAGGCTGCGGAAGCCATGCCGAAGCCGCCGCAGGCCGTCCAGGAGCGGGGCCGGGGCAGCCGGCACCGCCGCCGGCCCCGCTGGCTTTTTTTTGTTGTCCCCGACCGCCCCCCTCCACGCCGGCGGGACCGAGCTCCACGGGGATGGGCTTGGAGAGGGTACACAGTCTCACACGCCGAGTGGCCCCACGGGGTCGGCGGATTTTGCCGCGGAGTGTTTTCTTTGCACTGCTCTTGTTTGACGGGGGTGGTGAAGGGGGTCCCTCCTTAGCCCTGGTCGGTCGCCGGAGGGGTGGGGGAGGGGGTGTGGACCAATGAGGAGCAGTGATCAAGTTCTCAGCTGGAACGCCGCAAGCTGTGTCGCTAACTCCCACCCGCCCTCCCACTGCATGAGTTCGCACTCGAGTCTCAACATAGGCAAGGGCCGCCATCGACAACCATGGGGAACCAACGCATACACCAGCCAGGTGGATCGCGCACACCAGATGCGCCACACTGGGCAATACGAACCCCCATCACTGTCAACAAAAACCGATGCAAAGTGACGGCGGGTTTGCCAGCACTGTGTCATTGTGCACGTGTGCACCCGCAATCATTCTGCACGTGTTTTTGAAAAGGATGGTGGGCTTGCGCAGCAAGCAGTAAGCTGCCCCTCCCCGCCGTCCCTGACAAAGTGCCCTTTGCAGGCTCTTGGAACGGGATGGTGTGCCTGCACGCGGCAGGCACTGTGCCGACCTCTCCGCCGCCCCTGCCACACCGAGTGATCGCGGGGCGCCCTCGCAAGATCCAGATCTGGGTGCAGATTGCACTCTGTGTGGCTGCCTGCCAGGGAGGGGGAGGGGAGGAGGGAAAGAGGAGGAGGAGGAGGAGGAGGAGGAGGAGGAGGAGGAGGAGGAGGAGGAGGAGGAGGAGGAGGGAGGGGGGGGAGGGCCTTGGCACGGCGCACACCAGTGCCAGGAGGCAGCGTGCCGCTCTACCAGGCAGGTCCACGTCAAGAAATACTGCGAAGTGCTCGCGGGGCGCCCCCGCAGGGGCCACATATTATGGTGCCAAGTATACAGTGTTCACTTCTAATTCTTCGAGAGTTCTTTGATTTTTGTTTTGGGGGGGCAAGATCCTTTCATTCCTAATTGTTCTATCCTGGGCCCCTTCCTGGCCACTAGGGGGCCAGGAACAACTAGAAACGAGCACGATTAGAAATGAGCACGATTAGAAATGAACGACGTGTTCGCTTGGTACTGATTTTTGTGTAAGGGATGGTTGGGTGGGTGTGCCGGCATTGCGCAGCAGGCGATCTGTCGGCCCCCCCGTCGCACTTGTAAAACTCGATGCAGAAAGAACTCGAGGCGCCCGTGCGTGATCCAGATTTTGGCGCAACATGCACTTTGTGCGGTTTTCCGGCAGGGGGTGGTGGAAGGGTGTTGGCATTGTTCCGGGCTTGTCACGGGTCGGGTGTGGGAGGGGATGTTTCTTAGTAAGGAACAATGGTAAGCCCCTCTCCGAAGCGGAAGAGAGGGGTTGGAAGCGGAAACATCCTAACAATTTTCGCCCTAAAGGGTTGATGGGATTTTCAGAATGGTGGTTGGGCCGTTGGTGGTTGAGGCGGTGCGTCAAATCAGTTAGAAGCTTAGAAGTTTGAACCGAAGTCTAACGACCGCGTCGCAATTCCACATTTGGTTGTTCCCTTGGCGGGCGTCCTGTGTGGGCTGTCTGCAAACCGGGCCAACCAGCGTGTAGATTTGGAATGCGCCACCGAATCGCTCACTCCAAATTTGGAGCCCCAGAGGGGCGGGACGCTCTCGTGCTCCCCTCGCTCGCCCTCCCGAGCGCCGCCGACCGCGAGCTATTCATCTCCAAGAGGCCTCCGCGCCATCCCGGCATCCGCCTGCAAGAGGAGAGGCGCGAACGGAACTCGCCAGGTCGAGGCACACTGGCTCCACATCGGGCATCTGCACACCATCGCCGTGTCCAGCCAGGGCCAGCCTGGGCCCAGCAGGGATGGTGTAGAGACCCTCGTGGGCTCGGCCCGGAGGGCGCACACACCGCGCCAGGGCCAAGGATGGCCCTGGCCAGGCACGGCAGGGAACAGACGACTTCTGCGCAGTAGTTGCACTGGCCCCTGCTCGACATGCCTGGCATGGATCTGGGGACCGCGGAGCTGTTCGGACCGGGCGCGCAGTGGCAGCTGTCGACAGCCAGGCGCCGTGAGCCGCAGATATGAGGTGGAGGAGTTAGAGGAGTTGGAGGAGGAGGAGGAGGAGGAGGAGGAGGAGGAAGAGGTAGAGGAGGAGGAGGAGGAGGTGAGGAGAGCGGTGGGATTAGAGCCCAGCGTCATCGTTCACAGCGCTCCAGCCATGTTGGTGCCCTCTGGAGGTTTTGAGGGCTCTCGTGGGGCCCTCTCAGGGGCCTGTTCGGGGGTGGGTGGGGGACGGGTAGGAGGGACCATATTCAACCCAAGATGCAGTAACGATGCGCCTTCATGTCCCAAGGCCCATCCTCACACGTCCCTACAAGAAGCGCTCCCTCGAAAGGAAAGGACGATGAGGGCCTGCCCACCAGGCGAGTGCTCCGTTCTAAAAAGGAATTGCCTTGCATCCTCCTAGCGGCCAGCAAGGACTGCACGCATGTACGATCATGCATCATGCAGTGCAAGGAGGTTTCAATCCAGATCTCTGCTTTTGGAAAACAGGGGCCGCCCCACCGGTCTATTTGGTACACCAGTGTGCTCCTCTGTTCGTGCACTCTGGGGGAAGTCCCAAACGATAGCTCCATTTTGACAAGACGCCGCCCTCACTCCGCGCAGCCGCTGCACACGTTCGAGCTCAGTGCAGTGCGCTGCGTGGGGTCTCAAGCGGGAGCCCCGTCGTCGAGCAGAGCAGCTCTCCATCCGCAAGCATTCAGGGGCGAAAGAAGGACGTCCACGTTCATGTATCCACGATGGTTTCGAGAGTGCGCATTACGCGAACGTTCGAATCACGCGGCCGGTCTCGCGGATCGGGGGGCCGTGTTCATGTACAGGGTTGGACGCGTACGTCCTTTGTGGGCTCACTAAACATGCTGCGTACTTGGAAGACGCATGTGCACGGCGCTAGGGCCAGAGCCCTATGCTAAAAACCGCCCCATCCATCCTTGTACGTGTTGCAAGCGCGTGAGGCGAATGTGAGGGGCGCGAAGGCGAGAGTTCCATGTTGAATACGATCCGCCTTCCAACATGTGTAAGTGTTTGCAATCTCCAGCAGCATGAGCATACGCCGACTCCACTTATGGGAAGTATCAGGCGAAACGCCCGACCCGCCCTACTGACACGCCTGGTGGTCAAACGAGTAGGGTTTTCTATAATGCAACGAGGTGGTGGGAGCGGAGGAGGAGGAGGAGGAGGATGAACGAGGAGGAGGAGGAAGAGGATGAACGAGGAGGAGGAGGAGGAGGAGGAGGAGGAGGAGGAGGATGGAGGATGGAGGAGGAGGAGGAGGAGGAAGAGAAGGACGGGGCCGAGTGTCGTCCCGCCCTGCGGCGTCGGACGCCCCGGGAGCGGCGCGGGCCAAGCGCATGCTCCGAGGGTCGGGGTGGGGAGGTGGGCTCCGCGGGCAAGGGGCCGTTGCAGGAGGCGATGGCGATGCCTCCCTGGGGCACGGGGCGTCGACGCTCGGTGGCCGTCGGACGCGTTTCGTCGCCTCCTGGGGGGGGGGGGGTCTCTCCCCGGGGCAGCAGCCGCGCCTCCTCCAACGTGCTGAGGCACACTCGACGCGGAGATCGCCATAGGTGTTGCGCATTTCCTCCTTGCACATCCCGCCGTGAGGGTCTGGGTGAGAGAGAGTCTTCAGCCTGTGGCGACCGAGAGCTCTTCCTGGTAGCACTTTTGGAGTGCCCCCAATGCTGTGCCTGTTGCAGTGGGGATGGTCATGGTACTCTGAAAGGAGAGGGGTTGGCGGATTCAAAAAACAGCGATAGCCAGCGTTCCGCTCAGGACGTCCAAACGATCTTCCGCGAACGGGCTGTCGCACCCTTTTGGCGGTTCCCCCAGGGGGGCGCCCAAGTGGTATAATTGCTGCATCGCGGTGGCAATGGTGCTCTGAAGGGGGAATGGGGGTGGAGGAGCACAACGCGATGAGCATGGCACGGTGTGGGTGAGGAGCGAGAATGATTGGGGTTGAGTGCGAATGACAGGGTGTGGGTAAGGATGACTGTGAGTGCTTCTGCGTGTGAGCGGTCAGAGTGCGTGAGTTTGTGTGTGAGTGAGCCTGAGTGTGCGTGGATCTGAGTCTGAGTGAGTCTGAGGATGAATAGCTCTGAGTACGACTGAGTCGCAGCGTCAGCGATCGGAAGTATGAGTTGACAGAGTGTGGGAAATTCCCAGTATCACTAAGCTGAGTACGATTGGACCTGATTATGACGAAGCTGAGTTGAGAGGGAGGCGGGTTAGAGAGAGAGAGGCAGACAGAGGAAGGCGGAGGCACCACCTCAACAACAATAACCTGATCTTAAGATATGGGGAGCGTCGTTTTCGGCCCCCGGCGGCCCTCGCTGGGCTCCCACACCGTCACCAAAACACGGCTCGGCACTTTGTTTAAAAGCGTCCAGAAGTCCGACGTCTTGCTCTGGGGGTACCTGGATCTGCCAGAGCTGCTGCCCGAGATCGCACAGGGCCTCCAACCGTTTGGCATCAGTCGCGCAACAGGCTTCGTCGTCGCTTCCGCCCTCCCGGGTGCCCGCGCTGGATCGAGAGGCCGTCCTGAAGCTACTCCGGGATGGCACCTCCGAGGGGGGTCGAGAGGTCGGCTTCTCTCGGCAGCACGGCCGCTGCCGCGGGCGTGGCAGCCAGGTCGCAGCTCCCTGGAGGCAGAATTGCGCCATCGCCCATCGGCCCCCCCTGGTGCGCACCTCCTCGGTGCTGACCTCGCCTGGTCTGGCCTTGCTCGACCTAAAGCGGCCGCATCTGGCTGAATTTCCAGCCCAATCTGAATTGATGGCCCACTGACCCGGCTTGCTTAGCAGTTCCCAGGCGCGCCCATGCAGACTTTCCTCGAGTTGCTGCCTGATGGGGGGCATCTCTGCCCGTGTGCCTTGAATCAGATAAATGTTGTATGCCTGCTCTGCTGAGGCCTTGAGGCGTTCCTGACATTGTCGCTCTCGCTGGCGCCCAGTTGGCGGATCCGGCCCAGTCTGGGTTCCTTAGAGCAGCGGATCGTTTAGATTGCAGTTCCTGTGAGGTTGAATCACGTATCGGCCTTCGTATGTTCTTGGTGTTGATCGGCTCTAATTCGGCTGGTTATGTTTTCTTGTGCTGAGGGGTATGTTTGGGATTAGTTCCATGGGACGCATGGCCCCCTGACCTGGCCTATAGTGGGCCTGACTTGGCAATCGCGCCCGCGAGGACCTTCGAGGAGATGCCTCCTGTGTTTCAGATGCGAGCCCCTGGGCGTGCTTCTCTGCGCCAGGAAGCCTCGGCCTCTCGGGCCGCGCACCGCCCCGGCAGTGCACGGCGGGCGGCACCTGGGGGCCCGAGCGCGAGTCGTGCCTGCCGCAGTGGCCCGGCCAGGTCATCTTCGCCAAGGTCCATCGCAAGGACAAGGACAGGGACGCGAAGGACGCGAAGGACGAGCAGACCCAGCCGCGGGTGGCGATGGCGTTCGGAGGGGCAAGGGCAGGGCGCCCACCGCCACATCGGCACGAACGTCACGGCACACGCCTTGCCCCCGCCCCCCCCCTTCCCAGGGGCGTGAGGACAATGGCACTTCGAGTGTTGCGGCCTGGACTTGAGGGCTGCCCTTCTCTGAGGTGGCCTCTAGGGGGGGAGCGAAGAGAACCGCGCGTCGCGCATCTCGGGGGCGATGCTTGAAGCTGTGTGGCGCAGATACTTATCGTTCTCGATGTGGACCCAGACATCCAAAGTCTTGAACAGACCAAGTCTGAGGACTTTGGCCGTTTTCGGCCTCCAGGGGCCCTCGCTGGGCCTCGGGACTGCCCAGAATCAACTGAAGCGGGCTCTCACCAGTCCCTGGGAAAAGAGTCGGGACTTCCAGGGATCCCGTATCCAAAAATTCAAGACGTCGGCCTGGGGGGGAGGAGGAGGAGGAGGAGGAGGAGGAGGGAGGAGGAGGAGGAGGAGGAGGAGGAGGAGGAGGGAGGAGGAGGAGGAGGAGGCGGAGGAGGAGGAGGAGGAGGAGGAGGAGGAGGAGGGGAGGGGGAGGGGAGGGGGAGGGGGAGGGGGAGGGGGAGGGGGAGGGGGAGGGGGAGGGGGGAGGGGAGGGGGGAGGGGGAGGGGGAGGGGGAGGGGGAGTACTGGGAGATTGGAACTTACAACCTGAGGTCTGGGCTGACGAATGGCTGGAACAGGTGCATGGGTTTCTTCTTTTCTCAGAGACTCCCACTTGTCATAAGAGTATGTTGGGCACGGTTTTTGACTACGCGCTAGTGGCCAACAACCTTAACACGCGCATGCAGAAGCCAGAGGTGGTACATGACTCTGCAATAGCTACGCATTCGCCTGTGCGATACTCGTTGTTGGCACATGATATTCCGACATGGCGTAGGGTAATAGACGAACCGCGGGGGTTCGGATCGGTTCCTCCTATTGGTTGTCCGTACTACCCTCGGCGTGGTGCTTGGCGTCAGGCACGATTGGCGGTCTTGGATGCACATGACAACGCGTCGCTGCAGGTGGCCTGGGACAATGTGGTACAGCAGATTGAACATGAGTTGGCTGACAGGTGGCAGCTTCGAGGTGCCAACCATCGCACACATCTTGGACGGGCTGGCGCTGTATCATGGAAGTGGGAAAAGGTGGAGTGGCAGCCGCCACGAAAACGTACCGATGTATCTCAAGAGGTGAACTGTTGGCAGGTAGCAGGGCGGTGGGCATCTCACCTGGTGCGAGTACGTGCCCATCTTGGAGAGTATTGTCAACGTCTTCAGAGCGCCCACGCTACGTGCCCAGTTTCTTCACAGCAATGCGGGCATGTGGTTAAGATCATCAAGGAAGCTGCGATTTTCTTGAGCAAGGTTGCTGGGGCCAAACGGATTCTTGCTGGGCTTACCGATGGGGTTAGAACGTTCTTCACTTCAGGTATTGCGGTCTTCTTGCATGACGGCTTCGACGATATGGTCCAGTACATAGTGGAGCAGGCCTCCACTGTCGCCAAGCAGGCCGTCTCCGACAAGTACAAGGCATGGAAAGATTGGGCAGATCGTTCCTTTCTTCGTGGTGCTAGTGCTGCACATCGGTTTACTAAGGTACAACAGGCGCCTGAGAAATTGAAGCCTATGGTGTATGGAAGCCCTCATGCACTAGCAGATAGGGAGATGGTCACGTGGCGCGAGGTTTGGCAACATCATGGTTATGAGCTACCCGACAGGCCTGCTGATTTTACTTCGTGGCCCAAACTGCCAGCCATCAGTGTTCCTGACCTGCGAGCGGCTTCTCTTTCTTTTCCTGAGCGCACGGCTGTGGGACAAACGGGGATCGCGCCGAGAGCGCTATGGCACGTGTCGGATGAGGGCCTGTCGGTGGTCAACTTGTTGTTTTCGCGCTGTGAAGATCTTGGCTGGTGGCCTGGGGATCGCATTGTTGATATTCTTGTACGTTTGGCAACACCTGACGGTGGAAGTCGTCTCATATGCCTGGTCAACACCCTACTACGGCTATGGGCACGAGTCCGATCCTCGGTGGCCAAGCGGTGGATTAGGAACGCCAAGATTCCCAACATTTGGGGTACAGGTGGCGCTGGGAGGTCCTCGACAGCATCGGCGGTGGATCACAATATCACAGCGGAAATGGCATTCTACCTGGGAGAGTTCTTTGTGACAGCTCTTCTCGACGCATGGGAAGCTTTCGGGTCGGTTTCACCGTCCGCCCTGTTGGATCAGTCTCGGCTGGAAGGTTTTCCTGTCTTGCTTACGTGGATGACGTTGCAGTACCATTTACAACCCAGAACGCTCAAATGTCATGGGTCTCTCTCTGTATGGTACAGATCTGCGCAAGGTATCTTAGCAGGGTGCAGTATGTCCACAACTATGCTGACGGTGCTTACAGCAAAGACCATTCGACGACTTGCTAGAGATGATATTATACCACGAGCCTTGGTGGATGACGTTTCGGCGCAGTGGGTTGGCAGCTCGACACACCAGCTCAGTGGCTTCTGGGCGGCGCTGAAAGGTTTTACCTTTGATGTCAAGGAGGTAGGGCTCGTTATTCAGGCCAGCAAGTCAGGTTTCGTTGCCGCGTCGGCCGCAGTGACCAAGGCGTCTAAGGCGGCCTCTGATTACTGCCACATCCCGTCGAAGCCGCACATGCGGAATTTGAGGCATGAGCTGCATGGGCCAGTGGCGAGGCGCACGATTGCCAAGAAACGGCTGGCAAGTCTCAAACAGCGTGCTCATCGGGTACATGCATTTCGGCGGACGGTGGGTACCAAGGTTACGCGATCGTGGAGAACTGGGCTACTGCCGTCGGTGGCTCACGGGTCGTCGGTCAGCGGCGTGTCTGACAAGGAGCTGGAGGTCATGAGGAGCATATCCGCCACTATGGCGGGCTACCCCAAGCGTGGAGCAAGCAGTACCCTCTACTTGGCGACTCAGCGTGACCCATGGTATGATCCCATCTTCGACGCAACGACTGGGCCGACGTTCTATTACCATTGATTGGTGTGGGAACAGTTCGTTGGCCTGGGCAGGTTAGAACGAGCCTGGCAAGCAATCAGTGCTACTTCTCTCAGTTGGAGTACGGCTCGAGGACCGATTGGTGTAGTCAGGTTGTCCCTGCAAAGGGTAGGATGGCGCATGTTGTCTTCGACAGTGGTGCAAGACGATCAGGGATGCAGCTGGTCACCATTGCAGGTTGCCCCGCTTCCACTTCGCGATCTACTTCGAGCAGGTATCCAGCGATATCAGATGCAACGTATCTTGGCACATCACGAGCAGCGGGAGCCTGGCACGGTCTTGTGGGCGCGCGGGCTGCGTGCTTGCTTGGGCGGACCTTCGGCTACGGTCAAGAACCCAACAACGGCTGGTGCGCTCAGGGCTTCATGGTCTGGTTCGCTCTGGACCAAAGTACGTCTTGCAGCGCACAACAATGTCGGCGATTCACTGTGTCGGGCCTGCCAAGGCGACGACGAGACGATTGGCCACGTCCTGCTTCAAGTGCGATGCGGTGAACAAGTGGCTGCTGGAAGGTGAAGACGATCATCCCATGTCCGATGAGCTCACGTCTTTCCGCGACTCGATCCTGCAGAACGGGACCATCAATCGGCCGATAGTCAGCGACGAGTGCTTTGAGCTTAGTGTGGGGCTCCCGCAGGTACCTGGAGACTGGCAACATGCCGAACCTGACCCTCCTGTGAGGTACTGGGGATCTTGGGCTGGGTCGCCAGAAGACTGGCCACGCGCAGTTTTTACAGACGGCTCGGCTATTCCTTCCAGCATTCCTGAATTGAGACGTTGCGGATGGGCCTGCGTCCAAATGTCTCCTGATGGATATCCAGCGCGCGCAGTCTACGGAGGCCTTCCAGGGGCACAGCAGACTATTGGAGCAGCGGAGCGGCACTGCGTTCTACAGGCTCTACGACACTTTCCTGGAGTGAAGCGGTTGATCACAGATCTCTCGGCGCTCGTCGCCGAAGGCAACCGTTGGGACGAGTATGATGCGCTCGCTGGTGCACGACGCGCGGGCATATGGAGGGCTATGCGCAAATTTGCTCAAGCACGGAAAGGTGTACCTCCTACCTTCGGCTGGTGTCCCTCTCATCTTGACCTGGATGAGGTGGCGGCTGGAGTCGCTAAGCGTGAGGCCAACTTCGATTGGGTCTTGGGCAACGCCTGGGCTGATCATTTTGCGAAGCTGGGCGCGAAGGACATCGGATACGCTGAAGGGTATTGCGACTTGTTCAAGATGGCGCTGGCTCAAGCCAAGTTGATGTCCAGGTACCTGGGGTTCACGCTGTGCAGGTTGTTCCAGCAGCAGCTCTGGGAGTCTCAAGATCGGCAGGTACGATTTCCATGCTTTCAGCCACGTATCACGGTACTGGAGCATATTTTTTGGAGATCTGAGGTTTACGCAGAATTTCGGTGCAGGCAGTGTGGGGTGCGGGCTGCCACTACGACTCACCTGGACAACTTGGGCTGGGGTACTCGTAAGTATTGTAGTGCGTCGGAGTATCAAAAGCTGCAGTGTGACATCTTTTTCGGCACTCCCAAGGGCCTTACATACCAGCCTGTGCGCAGTGAGGCAGTGCATGAGGCTGTACAACTAGCTGATGCCCTACTTGGTGAGGCCATCTCTGAGCAGGTTGTGGTGGATTCGTCAGAGGCTCCTCAAATGGCGGCGCACACCTTTTTTGCAGGCCAAGGCCACGCGTTGCAATGGGATGGTCTGGCGTGCGTTTGTGTTCGTTGTGCTGGTTCTTCCACGGACGTCACAAAGAAGGTGCTCAAGCTCAAAGAAGTTTGCCCTGGGGCGTCTAAGGATCCTGCGGTCAGGAAGAACCAGATCAAGTGGATTTCTCGATTTGCCAAAGCGCGCTCCATCGAGTTCCACACGTCGGTGCTGGCCCAGATGAGGCTATGACTGTTTTTTTGTGGTGGGCGTAGGCGATGTTCTCGTCTGCTTCGACCTGTGGATGGTCGTGCTGTGCTCGCATTTTGAAATCCTGGGGCGCCAGGGTCGTGTCGCCATGGTGGTGAGTCCGCTGCCCTGGGCACCAGCACGTTGGACCTGGTCACGTGTTGGCAACAGCGAGCGGCAGCACCTCTGCTGCCCTGGGCACCAGCACGTTAGACCCGGTCGCGCGTTGGCAACAGCGAGCGGCAGCTGCTCATTGCCTGTTTTGCTGGGTTCCTGTGTTGATCTAGTGGTTGGCTTGGGTGTTCAGTTTGTGGATGCGGTGGCTGATCGCATCTACTTTCATGGTACTGGAGGCGTTGTGCTATTTCTTGTATCAGTACTGAACCTTGCGAATCGCCCGCGTGGCCCTATACAGGGAGCGGGCGCATCGACGAGGGTTTCGTTTCGCGGTACTGGAGGCGTTGTGCTCTATCAGGTATCTGCACTGGACCTTGTGAATTGCCCGCGTGGCCCTATACAGGGAGCGGGCACATCGGCGAGAGTTTGGTTACCTTTTTCGCGGTGTACTGAGGTGCCGCGTCGGTCTGAGACCTAGCGGCGTTCGCCTGCAGCTGCAGGCGGCCGCCCAGGGATGAACCATGAACCAGGAGGAGGAGGAGGAGGAGGAGGAGGAGGAGGCGGAGGCGGAGGCGGAGGAGGGGAGGAGGAGGCGGAGGAGGAGGCGGAGGAGGGGCAGGGCAGGGGCAGGGAGGGTGGGGCAGGGGCAGGGGCAGGGGGGAGGAGGAGGAGGAGGAGGAGGAGGAGGAGGGAGGAGGAGGAGGAGGAGGAGGAGAGAGGAGGAGGAGGAGGAGGAGGAGGAGGAGGAGGAGGAGGGAAGGAGGAGGAGGAGGAGGAGGAGGAGGAGGAGGAGGAGGAGGAGGAGGAGGAAGAGCCCTCGGGGGCGCGAAGCGAGCCCGCGCTCTGCGCGCCGCGGCGGGGGCCGCGCGGGCCCGCTCCAGCCGGCGGCGCGAGGGCGCGAAGGCAGCCGCGCGCCGCGCCTCACGGGGCGCCGTGCGCCAAGGCTTCAGTCGGGCGTGCCTCTCCTGGACTCCACACCAAGACCCCCTCGCGCTGTGAAAAAATCACGACGGGAGGTTTTTCGCTTGTTTCGGCCTCTGGGGGCCCTTACTGGGCCTCAGGACCGTCAAACAACAACTCAGGATGAAACACCGTTCCCGAGGAATGGGTCCGGACCTCTGGGGATCGCGTCATGGAAAAATCATGACGTCGGGGGTCTGGGCAGGAGGAAACTTCAAACATAGTCCACGTACAGTTTGGGCACGATTTGACCATTTTGGGCTATTTGGGGGCATGTTCAAAAACTATTCTTGCACTGCCGCCCCAAAGCCCCCTGTAGGAGGACATGCCTGACCTCAGCGAAGACCGGTGGACCCGGGAGCGTCGATGTGGTCGATCTTCTTCGCCAGGACCCGAAGGGCTCGAGGCGCCGCCGGCGCCAGGGGGCCGCGCGCGCGCCCCTGGCGCCCACGCTGCCCGCGCCACGCCGCGTGCGCGCGCCGCGGGCCAATGGCCTCGCCGCGAGCGGCCTCCGGCGGGCGGCGGCGGCGGCGGCGACGGCAGCGGCGGCCCTCGCACGACGGCAAGTGGAGGCGGCGGCGGCCCCGACGGCGATGGCGGCGGCAGCAGTCGCGGCTGCAGCGACGGCGACCACGGCAGCGGCGACGTCGTCGATTTGGTGGCTTTGGGCGGGGCGGGAGGTCAAGGGAGGAAAGGCCACCCGGGCCGGATCATCGGCATCTGCGAAACGGCCTTGGGCGTTTGCTAGACAGCCCTGCCCTGTCCGATTCGTTCTTTGGGTGCGTTTGCTAAGTGGCCTCGCTTGTGTCGGGGTGGTTATTATGGGGGTGGATTTGTTTTGCCTTCTGAGGAGGTCCCCGGTGGGGTCGAGGGTCGAGGTTCGAGGACGGGCAGGGAGCGCCGAAAGCGGGGTGGGAGGTGCCTGTGCGGGGGGGCAATCCAGCGCAATGCAGCGTGATGAGGCGCAGCGCAAGGAGGCAGCCCTTCTTGCCGAGGAGGCCCAGGAGGCCAGCTTTCGGCGTCGAGCCAAGAAAGCTGGACAAAGGCGTGCGCTCCGACGTCGAGCTCTGCTCTTCTCGCCGTTCCAGGCGAGGAAAGTTCTCACCGGGATCCGCAGAGAGCCAGACGATCACGGACCCTGAGGGCATCCACGCCGAGCTGTCTGACTACTGGGGCCGCGTCTTCTCGGCGAAGGCGCCGCCAGGGCCCGGGGCTCGCCAAGACCGGACCCGCCAGTGCGCCATGACTGCACCAAGTTTGCGGAGAGAATGCCTGCCAGCGCCCCTGGCGTCGACGGCCTTCCCTACGCCGCCTGGAAGCGCCCCCGCGCTCTGGATGCCCTCTCGTCCTGCTCAGAGTGGATCTGTAGCGGCTTCCCGATGCTCGACTCCTTCAACCTCGCGACGGCGAGCTACGCGCCCAAGGGCCTCGATGAGCACGACAATGGCAACCTAGTCAGCCGCGCGGCCAGCGACGTGAGGCTCCTCAGCCTCAAGCTTACCAGCAATTCGCCGGCCCAACGGGCCAGAGTATGGCTTCCTCGCCTTTTCGCGTTTCCGACGCTCCAAGACGGCCCAAGAGGCCCCCAAGAAGCCTCCCAAACCACTCCAAGACGGCCCAAGAGGCCCCCAAGAGACCCCCAAGACCGCCCAAAAGAGCTTCAAGACAGCCAAAAAGGCGCCCAAGACGGCCCAAGAGGGCTCCAAGAGGAGCCCAAGATGGAGACCACGAACCGAAAATCCGAGCCTTCCGCTCCAAGAGGTATCCAGGACGCCCCAAGAGGCCCCCAAGAGGCCCCAAGAGGCGCCAAGAGGCCCGAAAAAGACCCCAAGACGCTCCAAAACGGAGCTCCAAGATACAAACATCAGTGATTCTCTTGGTTTCTGAAGGTTTTTGGCTTTCTCGCCTTTTCGCCTTTCCGACGCCCCAAGACGGCCCAAGAGGCCCCCAAGACCACCCCAAGACGGCCCAAGAGGCCCCCAAGAGAGCCCCAAGACCGCCCAAGAGGGCCCCAAGAAAGCCTAAAAGGCGCCCAAGAGGGCCCCAAGAGGGGCCCAAGATGGAGACCACGAGCCGAAAATCCGAGCCTTCCGCTCCAAGAGGCCTCCAGGACGCCCCAAGAGGCCCCTAAGAGGCCCCAAGAGCCGCCACTCTCTCTCTCTCTCTCTCTTTCTCTCTTTTCCCTCTCACGTCGAGGGGCATACCTGTCGCAACAGTTTCACTGTGTCCATGAGCGTCCACGAGCAATGAGCCCCCCACAAAGGCGTCAGGGACACCCCAGAGCGGCACAACCCAGATGCCCCGTGGAAACAACGATTCCCCCGACACCTCCTCAGAAGGTCGACGCGAAGCTGTTTCGCGGGGGCAGCTTCAACACCACCATCCCGAACGCAACGCCTCAGAAAAAAACATGCGCCGACCCCTGCAGCTCCGCACTGCCGACGACCTCCCGCCCAATCGACCGCGGTGCCTCATCATGGGCCGGCGGAATGAGCGAAGCGATTAAATAAGATCATCTGCAGCGTTCATCACTGGAAATGGCCGACGGTGGTCAAGCGCATCGCCCCCTCGAACTAGCGAGGATTCGTCAGCGGACGCAATTTCCTCCTGAACATCGTCGACCTCGATACCTACGGTCGCGTCGCAGGTCTCCACCCCTCCGCCGAGCACCCGCTCCGCATGATCTTCGATTTCGCAGCGGTCTTCCCCTCTGTGGGGTGGGCATGGCTATTCATGTGCCTGGACGCGCTCCAACTCCCTGCTGGCATGGTGAACGCCATCAAGATGCTGTACCATCATACTGCTGCTGCTGCTGTCAGCTCCCACGGCCATTGCATCCGCTTCGCCTACTGGATCCTCAGCGGCGTCTTGCAGGGATGCCCCCTCAGCGGTGATCTATTTGTGGCGGCCAGTGCGCCGTTCATGTGGAACACGTGGCGGGACGTCGACCTGCGCAAGGACGGGGCCACGAGATGCTGCGCGGACGACGTCGGAGCGGTCACATTCGGCGCCTCTGGCCGTCGCGCATTTGGCCGGATCTTCAGGCTGGCCGAATCCTTCGCCGCATTCGTGCTCAAGCCCCAAAAATGCGCTGCGATACCGCTCGCCGTTAAGCTCAGTCCTGAAGCTGCCCGCGCTACGCAGGCAGTTCTCGGAGCAGTCTGGCCATCTTGGGCGCAATTCAAGGTCGTTGGCTCGGCAACCTACCTCGGCTTCATCATCGGCCCAGGCGCCACTGTCGCCGAAAACCTGGCGGCGCCGCTGATGAAGCGGCAGGAACGCGCCAGGGTTATTGCCCGTTCACCCGCCGACGCCTTCACGAAGGCCGAGCTCTACGCTACCCGGGCGGTCCCGACAGTCTCATACGTCTCCCAGTTGCTACCTCTACCGTGGGAGCTACGCGCCACGGAGGTCGGCATCTTCTCGCGGATCCTCAAGGTGCCCCCGACGACGTGCTTTTTCGCAGATTGGCACCACCGGATCGACTGGGGCGGCCCCAAGCTCCCCTCCATCGTCGTCCAGGGCGCGGCGCGGCGGCCATGGCAAGAACGGCAGCCGCCACGCTCGCGCGCTGGAAGCCCCCAGCGCGGCTCCTCGGGGACGCTGCCGAACGCTTCCTCCCCCTGGCGGCACGTGCACGAGGAGCGTGGGACCACGGCAGCTTGGAGGAGCCCCCCGTGGATCGACCATTTGGTTGAGGCCAGCTGCGGCTTCCCCGGTCGCCCCCACTTCTGCAACCGTTCGGATGCCCTCCTCCACGAGATGGCCGAACCGTGGAAGTCCGACGGCGGCGCGAAGGATGGGCTTCAGAAGCGGCTCAGTCGTACTCTCATGCGGTGCCTCATGCCGTCGACGATGGTAGCAAAGTTTAGGGTTTAGGGGGCGCATCCTCAAGTGGTTTCCAATGGCCGCAGGCGCCGCGAACTCTCCCTCGACTGGAACGCCCACCAGGAGCGCCTCATGACCATGGCCCCCAGCGTGCGGCTTGCTGCAACGAAGACGAGGCTTGGCGCCTGGCCGATGGGACGGCGCTTGCAAGGACACGGGCCTGACCGACTCTGTTCTTTTTGGGTGTGCCAGCGGCGAAGACGACATCTCGCACGTCGTGGCCCAACGCCCGCGGTTCAATCTAGCCCTCGGGGCGGCGGCTCGGTGCCCGGCCGTGCCTCCGTTGGAGCACACATTGGGCCTCCTCCGGGCTGTCGAGAGCCTCCTCAGCGTCGCCACGTCATGGCATCTGTGGCGCATTGCCAAACACCATCCACAGCGCGGACACCTCACCGACGAGACGCTGCGGGACATCGGGGCTGCGGCACGTTACGCGGTCCGTCTGGCCAGTGGGCGCGTGACGGGGTGCTGGACACCTACCTCGGCGGCCTCATCATCCTCTTCCGCGAGCTCCCGCTCGACGTTGTCGCGCCCCCGGCTCACGCCGATGGTCTCGTCGTCTGATTCCGGGGACCTCGAAGTGAGTCCTTCCTCGACTGGTTCGTTCTCGCGCTGGAGCGCCTCGACCCTGTCCACCTTGCTCGCCTCGGCGCCAACGGACGCCGATGATCTTCATGATGTCGCTGAAGCGGCTCCCAATGCAACATCCACATCCACGGCACTCCCTGCGGGGCTGGTCCCGCCCTGAGGCAGGACGGAGCGCTCCGTTGCGGCACGCTCGCGGAGGAGGAGGAGGAGGAGGAGGAGGAGGAGGAGGAGGAGGAGGAGGAGGAGGAGGAGGAGGAGGAGGAGGAGGAGGAACAGGAGGAGGAGGAGGAGGAGGAGGAGGACACCCTCCCCCTCCAGCTTCTGGTGGTGGTGGTGGACAACGGGCCCATCGGAAGCAGCGAGCTCAGGCTCGGCCCAGGGCAGGCCCCGCTTCGAGGGCGCACCGCGGGGGCCGGCGGCCCGTGCCTTCGCTCCTCCGGCGCCCCCCCCCGCAGCCGCAGGCGGAGCGGCCGGGTGCAGCCTGCGGCCCCTCGCGTGCGCCGGGCTCGGCGGGCAGCTCCCGGCCGCCCCGCGCTGGGGGCGGCCTCTCCCCGGGGAGCCTCGATGGCCGCTGCGGCTGCTTTGGTGCGGTGGGGGGCGTTCGGTAAGGACACTGCCGGGAGGCCCTGGGCCCTGGAGGGTTCCTTATCTGACGAGGTTGGCGGTGAGGTCCATGGCCACTCCACGATCGGTGCTGCACCAGCTTCCAGGCCCTGGACTCCTTATCCAGTGGTTCCTTATCCACTGCCCCCACCGTGGGTGGATCTCTCAAGCTCTCCGCCGCCTCTGGCAGTGTGCGTGGTGGCTCTGCTGCGCTCCTGCTCGCAGCCGCACACCGCCAGAGGCGGCGGAGAGCTTGAGGGATCCACTTGCCAAAAATCCCCCAGGAGCCTCGGCGGCCGCCGCATGGGCACCTTATAGCTGCGCGGATGCGCCCGTGTCGGGGCTCGTTGCGCTTCCTCCGGCTCGACTTGGTGGGATTTCGCTTCCGCTTCCGTTTCCGCTTCGATGCGGGTTCGGATCCCGATTTGGACTGCGGTTTCTGAGTGGAGGCTTTTTCACTAGCCTGCCCGTTTCCGTCGATTCGACTTCTTCCGACTTGGCTGCCCATTTCCGCCGATCCGATTGATTTCGATCGCCGATCCGTTTAGTCGATTCGATTCTGGGCTCTCCTGTCGTTTTGAAACGCAACACGTACCTTGCTCAAACCGTGTTAACACGCTGCACGTTGGCTCGGCACGTGTTGCGCCACGTTCGGGCGAACGTGTCGGGCCAGACTTACGCTTTTAAGTCTACCCGTTGAGCTCCGTGTCAACACGCTACGGGTTGCGTGTTGCGCATCGGGGGAGCTGTTCGGCACAGATCCAGACATACACGTTGGAGCCAGACGGGGGGCTGGGGTGGCCCACCACTGGTTCCAGTGGGTTTTTCTAAGCTTCAGCTCCTGTGAGCCGCTTTCGGGTTCTGGGACCGTCAAAAAAAACGGATCGGGGGTGGAAAATTGCACTGGACGGACCCCGGGAGGGGGCCGGGGACGGATTTGGAGCAGATTCCCATGTGGGGTCGGAGGGGTCGACGGATGGCGCCGCATCGCCGATGTATCGACGATGCGGCTCGATGTGAAGCCCGACTTTCTCCACGCCGGCGTCCCCCATGCATCGCCGACGTTGGCGATGCATCGCCGATACACCGGCGATGCATCGGCGAGGCGACGCGATCCGCCGACCCCATCTACTCTGACCCCATCTGGGAGGCCTCAAGACATGCACGGTCCGTGGCTAATGCGTTGCTCTGTTTGTTTAGGCTCAAGGTGCCCGTGGCAACCTCGGCGGGGTGCCCCGATCATCCATCCTGCGGTGCAGCAGGCTGGTCTGTTTTTGGTATGGCCTCGCGGCAGGAGCTCCGGCCTGGAGTGGAAGACGATTCTGGGTTTGCTGGGCGGCATCACTTTGTCGATGGAAAGCAGACGCTGCCTTCGGAAGTAACGCCAACACCTTGCAAGAGGATGAGCTTTGTCAATGGCCGGAAGGTGCAGGCTGAGGCGGAGAGCGTAATGAAGGCTCCAGGCCCCAGAGACGTCCAGTCCATCAGCTCGGACGTGGAATTGGAGCGATTCTTGTGCGAGATGTGCAAAGAGATCTCTCCGCCCAACGATCGCTGGACGAGCAAGTTTACCCAAGTGTTTCGAACCCTATTCTGGAGAATAGGCTTCGGGTGGGAATTTCCGCGAATTCCTGACAGCGTGCATTCGCTCCATGATGTCGTTGCGCATTTGCTCTCAGATGCCGAGGTTGTCCGCGCCAACCATGAATGGCCTGCGTTGGCGAGCGTGGTGACGGAAGAACGATGTTTTCCATTCTCGCTGCTTGCTGGGCGGTGTGTCCTGGTGACGAACGTTGCCACCAAATGACATATGGCTCCTTGGCAGTTTGCTGACCTTGCTGAATTATGTAAGCGGTTCAAGGGGCAGCCATTTACTTTGGTGTGTGCACCCTCAGCGCAGTTCCTTGGACAAGAGGTGCCGAACAGCGATCAGATCCATTCGCTGGTTCTGGGGAAGTTGGTACCATCTGGGGGTAGCTTCATAGTGCTAGAGAGGCTGAATGTGAATGGGAACACGACCCACCCGCTGTTCCATTTCCTGAAGCGGTTTTCCAGCCTTTACAGGCCCCATCGGGGAAAGAGCATGCCGATTCCATGGAATTTTTCGAAGTTCTTAATCAACAAGGCCGGTCGAGTCATTGAGTTCCGAGGTCCCACTGTTTCGGCGCTGGACCTGGAGGCGCAGGTCAAGACCGTGATTGACGAGAACTACCCCTAGTAGACTACAGTCGGCTCGTCAAAATAAGGAACATTGGGTTCGGACGTGGCTCAGTGCTCCTGAAGGATTTGTGTTGGTTCTCAAGCTCTCACTTGGATTACCTCGGCTCAACGCACGGACGGAGTCTGGGGTTCGGTTCTCCACTGTGCATCAGAGGCGGGATCAAAAGGGTTGGCTCGCTGGGATGCTTCTACGTTCTTGCCTCTGTCGCTCTCTCTGCCTCCCAATCTATCTTCACGGTAGGAGGGAAACTTTGGCGTCGCACTGAGTTGGGTGCTGTGTCTGTCAAGTGATCAGCTTGCTACCACGGGTGATACTTCGTGACCGTGTGGCTGAGAGATGGTCAGCTCATCGCCTTGCCTGCTGCTATCATCGGGGGCGGCAAAGAGGGGGGTGATGACCAGGGGGGGTGGATATCATGTCGGGGGCCATGATATTTCCCCAGATTTCATGGCGCCTCTTCTTGTTTTAATACGTCCCTGGCCCCCCCGCTGGGCCGCGCACATGCCGCCGGCCATGAATTGCACCCCGCCCTCTTGGACGCCCCCCTCTTGGCCGCCCCCGATACCAGTTGCTCGCGCCTTTTGTTGTACCAGCCGGGGCGGCGCTGCAAAACAACGCATCCCCGACCGTGCTCCCAGGGCTTCTCTGAGGTCGGGGGCGGAACAGGGACGTGCGCGCACACGCGAATCCACCCGAGCTTCGAGAGCGCATTGCGCGAGGGTTCGTGCCGCGATGGTGGCCTCACGAACTGGGGTATATATATATATATATATATATATATATATAGATATCCCTTGACAGGTTATGGCGCATCGGGCTCCCTACAAGGAGCCTTCCTCAGAAGCATCTGGCCCCTTCTGAGACGTGGCGCCGCCCCCCTCTCGGCGTTGCCTCTGCTCGGATGGCGGGCAGCTGCACTTTTGCGGTTTTGCGCTTGCCATCTTTCTGCTCAGTTATGCTGTGTCTCGAGGCTGGCAAAACGGCGTAAACTTCAACTTCGGGAGGTCCGCGCGCGGATTTCTTGAATCGGCGATGGGTCCCCCATCGCAGGCGCGCGAAGCGTGCCAGGGGCAGCGCCGGAGGCGCCGCCGAGGAGGTCCGTCGCCGATACAACCGATCCGCGCGTACTTCCGAAAGCTCCCCAAGCAGCTTAGCCTATAGGTAAGGGTTCTATGATCGATGATCCATAAGACGTGTGTTCGCCCAAGCGTGAGTTTACCCTGCTCGGTTGCGCCGATAGCGCGCAGCCTGTGTCGGCCCCTCGTTGCGCCGCCTACGTCGCATTGAAGGGCCTCGGTGGATACGCACACGTTGGCGCCAACACACGTTCTGTGGATCATCGATATAAAAGTGCTCCAACGCGTTGTGATGGATGCCAGACCCCCGAAATCGATGGTCCATCGTGGTGGCCCACCATCGCGGCACCAGGGGCACCAGACGTCGGACCTCATGTAGCCAGGGTGCCATGGATGCGTACGCCGCGTCCGCCGTCTGCCCCCCGTGTAGCTCCGCTTTTCTGCTCAGTCGTGCACTTTTGCCTCTGGCTACGCGGTTCCAACCCGCTTTAGCTTTGACCACCAGAAAGAATTTCGAGGACCAAGAAAGTACCGAGACTTGAGGGTTTTCACGTGCTGGGCCCTGGGAGGCGATACTCGCTCGACATTGTTTCGATACTCTTCCGGGTGCTCGATGTGGTCCTTAAGCGCGATGGGAGCAGCACGAGCCCCTGGTCGTTTTCGGATAGTAGCTCGGGCCTCCGGCGGCCGTTCGGGACGATCTCGCCTCGGCCGGAGAGCTCTCGACGAGGCGCAGCTGCCGGAAAAAGCATCCCGAGGCTGGCAGGCCGCCAAGAACCGACGAGACGCCAGAAAATTCCGAGCCCTGAGCCCCTCGCGCCCAGCACCCCTGGTCCCCCCTCGCGGGCGACACATATCCGTATCCGCGGCCTCGCGGGCCGGGCCCCCAGGGCCGCGACCCCGCGGACAGGGTTTTTTTTTTCGCGGATGCCCCGCGCGGAAGGCATCCGGGCCGTGTCCGTGGGATCGCGCCCCAGAACATAATCCAAACCGCGAGGGCACGGACACGGATATGAGACGTTCGAGACAAGGTTTCGCCTTCGAGGATCGAAGGAGTTTTTATCTCTTCCTCCTTGGAAGGCGGCGGGAGGGCGGTGGAAGGGGCGGAAGGGTGGCGGACGCAAAACCAGGCCGCCTCCGCCGGCGGAAGGCCGACGGAAGCCAGCGGCAGTAAACATCGGTTCCCCCAAGAGATGGCAAGGTTTTTGGCTCAGGGCTTCTGGAACGAGCCGCATGCTCGCCGGTCGTGACTACTCAGGGTATTTTGTGCACCACACCCTCCCAGCCCCAGTCAGATTCCACCGCCCAGGGCCACTCAGTACACAGAAGCCACGCCCCAGGGAAGGAATCTTGTAGACCAGACCCACGACCAGGACCCACGCTCGCCCCCCGGGGCTTTTGGGCATACTATATAATTTTTTCGGGCGGAGCGACAGCCCCCCCCCCCGGCAGTCCGCACCTGCCTGGCTGCCGTCCCCGCTCGTCGTCGCCGTCGGCGTCCCGCTCCTGCTGCCGCCGCTGGTTGCCGCTGCTCCCCGGTCCCGCTTCTCTGGCGCTGCTGCTGCGCCTGCTCGGGTCCGCTCCTCGTCTGGCTGCCTCCCTCTTCCTTCCGTCTCCCTCTCACCTCCAACTCCTCCTCCTCCTCCTCCTCCTCCTCCTCCTCCTCCTCCTCCCTCCTCCTCCTCCTCCCTCCTCCTCCTCGTCCTCCTCCCTGCTCCTTCTCCTCCCTCTCCTCCTCCTCTTTCTCCTCCTCCTCCTGCTGCTCCTCTTCCTCCTCTATTCCTCTTTCTTGTAAATTATTCACTGCGTGGAGCTCTCCATATGTGCATCTATTCGCATGGACCTGTCCGCCGTCAATGTCTAGGCGCAAGAGTTTTCGAATATGAACGGGCTTGAGTTGTGACGGTCTGGTCATGAATCTAACTGCGAGTGAATTGGAGTGTGAACGAGCCTCAGTAGTACGAGCGCGTCTCTGCGCATGAGCCTGGGGCCTCCTGGGGCCTCCTGAAATCTACTGGGGCTTCCTTGGGCCTCCAGGAGCCTTTTGGGGCCTCCTGGGGCCTTCTGTACCTCCTAGGGAGGATTCGTGCCCCAGGAGAGGCCCAATATATAGCAACAGACGTACATCAAACATTGCGGATTGGAGCCGCAGGAGAAGGGCAATCTACAGGAACAATGTAAAACACCAAGGACTTCTGGGGCAGGAGAGGCCCAATATATAGGAACATGAGTAAAACATTTAGGGTTCTGTACACAGGAGAAGGACAAGATATTCGACCTCGTTTACGAGTGCGAGCTCCTGGTCACTCCGATCTCCTCGCAGCCTTTTGGGGCTCAAGACAGGGGCTTGCGCCCTCCATCGCGCGCGGGGGCGCGCGTGGGAGGCCTGCCCAAGCGTTGCTCAGAGGGGCTCAGGCAGAGATGCCTCCCCCCGCCGTATTGCGGCGTCCCGCCGCGCGTCCCTCGGCGCCCGTGGCGAGGCGGCCCGCGGCCGCGGGGCACGTCGGGCCAGGCGGGGCGGCACGGCGCTTCAAGGGCCGGCCCCGCGCCGCGCGAGCCAAGCGCGGACCGCCTCACGCGGGTGGCGCAGGTGGCCCCCGCGGTCGCTCCCGCATCGCGCCGCGCATTGCGGGTGGTGCGCACACTCGCACGGGGGGCGGAGGCGGTCGCGGGGCCGCGGGCGGGCGTGTCGCCCCACGCGGACGCGGCGGCCGCGGCGGCACAGCCGCTGGCGGCGGCGGCGGGCCGCGCGGGCGCTCAGCATCGCGAGGCGGAGACCTTCGCGATGCGGCGAGGAGGGCTGCCGCGGTGGCTGACGCGGACAGCGCCGAGTCGTTCGACGTCGAGGGCGAGTGGCTCGAGCCCGCGGTGACGCGAGGAGCGGAGCGCAGGGCGTCAGAGTGGCGCTACACCGCTTCCCCGACGCCCGCGGAGCTCGGGCCCAGGCGCGGCGAGGCGCCGATCGTCGACGTCGAGCTCGACGGCCTCGTCACCTTCAAGGTGGTGGGGTCCGCGGCGGACGCCGACGGCCGCAATGGCAGGTGCGGCCGTCATGGCTTCGACGGGATGTTCGAGGTCGTGTACCTTGGGGCGGAGCTCGAGGCGGAGCGGATCTGGATGGGGGTCGCTTTCGATGACCCCGCCGAGGTGCCGCTCATGCACTTCTGCCATGCTGGCAGAAGCAAATGTTAAAATCCTTCAACAACATACGGGGCATCACTGTTTGTTCCTTTTCTGGCCTTCCTGGAGGCCCTCCTGGAGGCCTCTTGGGCCAGCTTCGAGCCAACTTCGGACATTTTGGTGGGCTCCTAGCCCGTCGGACGCCGTCGGGCCGACTTGGGGCCTTCGTGGGGTGCTCCAGGGCCGTCTTAGAGGCCATCTTGGGCGTCTTGGAGGCCTTTGTGGTCGTCTTTGTGCCCGCTTGGGGCCGTCTTGGGGTCCTCTTGGGGGCCTCTTTGGGCAGTCCTGAGGCCATCTTGGAGGCCTCTTGGGCGCTGTGGGGGCGATCTTGGGGGCCTCTTAGGCCGTCTTGGGTCGTCGGGAAGCCGATAAGGAGCAAGTGCGACAAACTTTTCAAAACCTAAGGAACATCAATGATGTTGGTCTCTTCGGGCCCTCCTGGAGGACCTCTCGGAGGCCTCCTGGGCCGTCTTGGAGGCCTCTTGGGCACCTCTTGGTCCGTCTTGAGTCGTCTTGGGGGTTTCTTGGGCGGGCTTGGAGGCATCTCCTCCTCTCTTGGGCGGACTTGGAGGCCATCGTGGACCATCTAGGAGGCCATCTTGGGCCATCTTAGCCGTCTTGGAGACCATCTTGGTCGTTTTGGAGGCCCCTTGGGGCCGTCTTGGGGGCCTTTTGGGCCGTCATGGGGCCATATCGGAAGCCTCGTGGGCGATCTTGGGGCGATCTTGGGGGTCTCTTGGGCCGTCTGGAGCCGTTGGAACGCCGAGAAGCAGCAAATGCCAACATCCTTCAAAAACCTAGGGGAAATCAATGATCTTGGCCTCTTCGGGCCCTCCTGGAGGACCTCTTAGAAGCCTATTGGGCCGTCTTGGGCCCTCCTGGGGGCCTCTTAGGCTGTCTTACGCAATTTTGAGGCTATCTTAGGCCGTCTTGGGTGCATTTTGGGCCGTCTCGAAGTCATCTTCGCCGTCTTGGTGGCTGTCTTGGAGGCCATCTTGGGCCATCTTGAGAGAAAAAGCCGACGAGGCAGGCAGCCGGCGGGACCCGCCGAAGCCCCAGGGGGAGTTTTTTTTGGGGAAAAAGAATCAAAACCCAAACCGAAATAATTTGACATGCCAGGCACCCTTGCGATGAATCGACAGGGGGAGGCGGATTTGGTGGCCTTCGGACCATCCCGCCGCCGTGCCTGAGTCGTGGATCCGAGTCCTCTTGGATGTATACAGTGTTCATTTTTCATTCTTCAGAAGTTCTTTGATTTCTTGGGGGCCAAGATCCTTTCATTTTGAATTGTTCTATCCTGGGCCTCTTCCTGGCCACTAGGGGGTCAGGAACAATTAGAAACGAGCACAATTAGAAATGAGCGCGATTAGAAACGAACGACGTGTGCATAGGGTTCTCCATGGGTGCCTTCTCGGAGTTCTCTTGGAGGGCTCCTGGGGTCCCCTTGGGAGGCCTCAGGGTTCCCTGGGGCCTCCTGCGGGGCCTGGGGCCTCTCGGAGGCATCTTGGCGGCCTGCCGGGAGCCTCCGGGGTCCGTTTGGGGCGGGGGGCCTGAAATGTCTGTTCGTGCCCCCCCCTTGGGAACGTCTGGAAGCCCTCCTGGGGGCCTCTTGAGCCGTCTTGGGAGTGATCTTGGGGGCCTCTCGTGCTGCATCGGGGCGTCAGAAGGGGGGGAGGCGGTAACTAGGCACCTTCATCTGCGCGTAGCGCCGCAGTCTCTGGCCCTGCACATGCACACTGCACGTGCGGGTCTCCACATTCTGGCCTTTGGCCAGTGGTCGAAGCCAAAACCATCACGCTTCGTGGTTTGGCGCTCCTGGGGCCCGTGGAGGGCTCGCATAGCCCAGAAGCGGCGAAGAAACGTCCAGGATCCTTGTCTTCCAGGTGCTAAAACCTTTCTCCCGTCCCTGGAGGCCTCGCCCTGCACCCCCCTCACACGGATCGTGCTTCACAGGGACCCGAACTCCATACATTTTGTGGCGCGTCGTACAGGAGGAGATGGCCACATCGTGTGCTACACGCAAGCGTACACGGTTGGGGGCTGGGCCTTCCCCCGGGCGTTTTTCAATAAGGGGCCACGTGCGAACCCTACCCCCGCCCCCCATGATTTCTGAGGGGGAGGGTGGGGTCCACTATGTTCGGGAGCTCCCGAGCGAAGTGAACTCCACTCTCCCCCTCAGAAATCGTGGGGGGGGTATGGGGTAGGGTTCGCACGTGGCCCCCTACTCAAGACGTGGAATATTTAAGTGCCCTGCTGCCTGCTGCCTCCCTTTTTCCCGAGGCCTCGCCTTTCGGAGCCTGGACGGCATCTCCCTGACGCTGCAGCCTGGCCCGGCCAGCGGCCTCGTGCAGGCCGGGGCCCGCCGCGGGGGAGGCGTCGTCGACGACGAAGGCTGGCGATGGCGGCGGCTGGGAGGGGGGGGAGGAGGGGCAGGACGGAACGAGGAGTGGCAGGAGGAGGAGGAGGAGGAGGAGGAGGAGGAGGAGGAGGAGGAGGAGGAGGAGGAGGAGGAAGAGGATTTCCAGGATTGCCGCCATCACAGCAGTGATTCGAAATAAGCACCCCCTGAACACGATGAGCAGCGCGGCTACGAGGGACAGGAGGCCCACGCGTGGAGCCCGCCAAGAAGCTTGTGCAACACGAGAAAACGTGATACCGCAAATGAGCCCCCCCATCATTAAGATGTTCATTCCTTTCTGGCCAAACCGCCAAGAGCGGAACAGGCGACACGCACTTTGGCGCGCCGCGCGCAGCACGCCCCTTGGTGCGCCGCGCGTTCTGACAATTCCGAGGCGGCGGGCGCACTGTCCTCACATAACGACACGCCACTCGGCGTGCCGCCCCGATAAGCCACCCGAAGGGCGCCACTCCCTCGGGCGACCGCACAACCCCACGCACGCCAGGGCGGGGGACCCTGACCGTGCGAAGAATGGGTGTGGATCCATCATGAGCCCCCTGCAGGGGACCCCCCACCCGCCCAGGGGCACGCGGTGTACGTGCCGGGCCACCGCAAGGGGTGGGAAAACATGGCGACGAGGGGTAATGTTCTCTCCCCCTGGCCCTCTACGGGCAAACAGGGGTGACGATCGGGCTGCAACCCGCCTGTTTCCCTGGGACGCCCGAGGGCACCCAGTGGCACAGGTGCCAGGAGGAGGAGGAGGAGGAGGAGGAGGAGGAGGAGGAGGAGGAGGAGGAGGAGGAGGAGGAGGAGGAGGAGGTGGAGGTGGAGGAGGAGGAGGAGGAGGAGGAGGAGGAGGAGGAGGAGGAGGAGGAGGAGGAGGAGGAGGAGGAGGAGGAGTAGGAGGAGGAGGAGCTCTGTCTGACGTGCTGACGTGTAGAGATTCCGGCCTGCTGGACGCCGCTCGAATTCTTTACGCTTCGCGTATCCCCACCAGCCCATCTCACAGCAGCAACTCTTGCGAAGCATGCGACAGTCGTGTTTTTTACCTAACAGCGAAGACTGATAGGTTTCTAGTGGGGTAACAAAGAGAGCAGCACATTACTCCACAGGGGGGTCTGGGCAGCCGTTGGGGAGCCGTTGGGGGGCCGTTGGGGGGCCGTTGGGGGGCCGTTGGGGATTGCCGGGGAACCTCGTTTTTCGCAAACAGTCACACACTTCGTGCTCTTCGACCTCCCAGAACTCCATTCTTCGACCTCCCAGAACTCCATTCCCGGGCCACATTCTGAATGCCCGGAGCCAACTGTAGGCCACTTCGTGGTCTTCGAGTTCCCAGAATTCCATGTCCTGTGGCATGATTCCATTCCCGGGAGTTTGGATGCCCGGAGCCAACTGTAGGCCACTTCGTGGTCTTCGAGTTCCCAGAACTCCATTCCTGGGCATGATTTTGAATGCCCGGAGCCAACTGTAGGCCACTTCGTGTCTTCGAGTTCCCAGAACTCCATTCCCGGGCCACATTTTGATGCCGGAGCCAACTGTAATTCCTGATGCTGAGCTGAGGCAGGCTGAGGCAGGCTGAGGCTGAGGCCGAAGCTTTTGAATGCTGAGGCAGGCTGATGCTGCGGCTGAGGCAGGCTGAGGCTGAGGCAGGCTGAGGCTGAGGCCGAGGCTGAAGGCAGACTCAGGCTGAGGCTGAAGCAGGCTGAGGCTGAGGCTGAGGCAGGCTGAGGCTGAGGCTGAGGCAGGCTGATGCTGAGGCAGGCTGAGGCTGAGGCTGAGGCTGATGCAGGCTGAGGCCGAGGCAGGCGGAGGCTGAGGCCGAGGCTGAAGGCAGACTGATGCTGAGGCTGAAGCAGGCTGAGGCTGAGGCTGAGGCAGGCTGAGGCTGAGGCTGAGGCAGGCTGATGCTGAGGAAGGCTGAGGCTGAGGCTGAGGCTGAGGCTGATGCAGGCTGAGGCTGAGGCAGGCTGAGGCTGAGGCCGAGGCTGAAGGCAGACTGAGGCTGAGGCTGAAGCAGACTGAGGCTGAGGGTGAGGCAGGCTGAGGCTGAGGCTGAGGCAGGCTGATGCTGAGGCAGGCTGAGGCTGAGGCTGAGGCTGATGCAGGCTGAGGCTGAGGCAGGCTGAGACTGAAGCCGAGGCTGAAGGCAGATTGAGGCTGAGGCTGAAGCAGGCCGAGGCTGAGGCTGAGGCTGAGACAGGCTGAGGCTGAGGCTGAGGCAGGCTGATGCTGAGGCAGGCTGAGGCTGAGGCTGAGGCAGGCTGAGGCTGAGGCAGCCTGAGGCTGAGGCCGAGGCTGAAGGCAGACTGAGGCTGAGTCTGAAGCAGGCTGAGGCTGAGGCTGAGGCAGGCTGAGGCTGAGGCTGAGGCAGGCTGATGCTGAGCCAGGCTGAGGCTGAGGCTGAGGCTGAAGCAGGCTGAGGCTGAGACTGAGGCCGTGGCCGAGGCCGAGGCTGAAGGCAGACTGATGCTGAGGCTGAAGCAGGCTGAGGCTGAGGCTGAGGCAGGCTGAGGCTGAGGCTGAGGCAGGCTGATGCTGAGCCAGGCTGAGGCTGAGGCTGAGGCTGAAGCAGGCCGAGGCTGAGGCTGAGACTGAGGCCGAGGCCGAGGCCGAGGCTGAAGGCAGACTGATGCTGAGGCTGAAGCAGGCTGAGGCTGAGGCTGAGGCAGGCTGAGGCTGAGGCCGAGGCAGGCTGATGCTGAGGCAGTCTGAGGCTGAGGCTGAGGCTGATGCAGGCTGAGGCTGAAGCAGGCTGAGGCTGAGGCCGAGGCTGAAGGCAGACTGAGGCTGAGGCTGAAGCAGGCTGAGGATGAGGCAGAGGCAGGCTGAGGCTGAGGCAGGCTGATGCTGAGGCAGGCTGAGGCTGAGGCTGAGGCTGATGCAGGCTGAGGCTGAGGCAGGCTGAGGCTGAGGCCGAGGCTGAAGGCAGACTGAGGCTGAGGCTGAAGCAGGCTGAGGCTGAGCAGGCTGAGGCTGAGGCTGAGGCTGAGGCAGGCTGATGCTGAGGCAGGCTGAGGCTGAGGCTGAGGCTGATGCAGGCTGAGGCTGAGGCAGGCTGAGGCTGAGGCCGAGGCTGAAGGCAGACTGAGGCTGAGGATGAAGCAGGCTGAGGCTGAGGCTGAGGCTGAGGCTGAGGCTGAGGCTGAGGCTGGCTGATGCTGAGGCAGGCTGAGGCTGAGGCTGAGGCAGGCTCAGGCTGAGGCAGGCTGAGGCTGAGGCCGAGGCTGCAGGCAGACTGAGGCTGATGCAGGAGCAGGCTGAGGCTGAGGCTGAGGCAGGCGGAAGCTGAGGCTGAGGCTGATGCTGAGGCAGGCTGAGGCTGAGGCTGAGGCTAATGCAGGCCACTGCGACTGTCATCGCGAATGCGACTACGACTGCGAGAACAGCAGAACTCTACAACTGGATTCTCATCTGAATCTTAAGGGGGATGCTTCCAGATATGCTCCTACACATCGCTGTTAGGTTGCTTTGCGGGGATAAAATCAGGGCGTGTGTCCGCTTGGCCAGCATATCTCCCCTGACCTTCCTCTTACGCATGCCTCCTTCTACATCTCCTTGTCGGGGGAGCGGGAGAAGGACGAGGCGGAGGAGGAGGGAGAGAAAGGCCGTCTCGTGATTTTGAATCGTTGGGGTTTTCTCGTTCCTGGTGTGAGTCGTTCGGGCCCTTCTTTTGAGCGTGCAAGTCGTTCGTGGCTCTTCGTGAGTGTTTGGAGTCGTTCGGGCTCTTAGTTCCTGGTGTTCCATGTGTGGTCGTTTCGGGATTCTCGTGGTGTGAGTCGTTCGGGGCCCGCGTCGTGGTGTGAGTCGTTCGGGCCTTCTAGTGAGTGTGAGTGTTCGGGGCCCCCCTCATCCTGGTGTGTGTCGTCGGCCCCTCGTCCTGGTGTGAGATCGTCGGGCTCCTCGTGGTGTGAGTCCTTCGGGGGCCCGCGTCGTGGCCTGTGAGTCGTTCGGGCTCTGTGGTGTGAGTCGGTTCGGGCGCCTCGTCCTGGTTGTGAGTCGTTTCGGGCCCCTCTTGTGGTGTGGTGGGAGTCGTTCGGGCTCTTTCGTGGTGTGAGTCGTTCGGGCCCCTAGTCCGTGCGTGTGAGTCGTTCGGGCTCCTCGTGGGGCCTCTTGGGGGCACCTTGGAGCCTCTGGGGGCCTCTTGGGGGCCTCTTTCTTGGGGCCCTCTTGGGGGGCCTCTTTTGGGGCCTAGTTGGGGTCTCTTGGGGCCTCTTGGGGGCCTCTTGGGGGCCTCTTGGGGGCCTCTTGGGGCCTCTTGGGGGCCTCTTGGGGGCCTCTTGGATGCCTCTTGGGGGCCTCCTGGGGGCCTCTTGGGGCCATCTTGGGGCCTCTTGCGACCTCCTGAGAAGCGCAAATGAGCGCTGCCCCCTGATAAGGACAACATGAGTCCAAAACCTTCGTAAACTCAATGATGTTGCTATGAAGGAAGATGAGCGCGGCCCCCTCAGGAGGCCAAAATGGGGCCAAAACCGTAGTAAAATCAATGATTTTGGCTTCAAAGAAGGGGGGAGTGTTTTTTTTTCTCAGTCCCCCCGTCGGGGGCAGAATCCTCGTGAGGGGTGTCGTGTTTTAGCCCTCCCAGGGGTCGAAATTTACCCCCCCTGACGACCCGCGAAACCTCCTCTCCAGGCCCAGGGGGAGGGGGTAGGGGGAGGGGTAAACCCCTCCCCGAAGAGGAAGAAGGGGGGTTGGGGGGTTGAGAACAGAGAGAGCCCCCTAAACCACTCACGCCCAAAGGGCTGGTGGGATTGCTGGTGGTCATGGGTGCCAGGTTTCCACGGCTGGGCCTTTTGGGGCCCTTTGTCTTGGGGTCGACGGGTTCCTGCCTACGCTCCCCCCCCCCTGCGGCCTCCCTCTTTTCCTGCTCTTTCTCTCTTCCTCCATGTGTCTCCCCTCTTGGGGGGGGTGCGTTGGCGGGTTCCTGTTCTGGTTCTGGGGTGTCTTGGGTTTCCC